ATACAAGTCTTGTGACCCGTCGACTCCAGGATGGCTATAAGCAGCTCCTGCACAGATAGGTACTGTACTTGTGACCGAGTGCTTGCAGTCTATTTTGAACCTTTGGCGCATAGCTCATGCAGACAGACATAGTGAACCATTTGACAAGCCGTCTTCCCGACAGACACTGGCGTATACAGCTTGATTCCAAGCTGGCCGAGGACCGAGGATCCCCAGTGAAGTAAATTGAAGGAGTTGACCATCATTGTGCCATGATTCAGGGGCTCCCGAGGTTGAAATTTTCCGCTTCCTTGTTAGATCGTCAAAGACTCTGAGTTGCGGGCACGGAGGAACAGGCCGATCATATTGAAGCAATAATCGGAAGGTTCGCCGATGGTCGTGGGGTAATGAATAGCAACATCGGTCGCCCAAGGTGAGGGCGGCGAGCGACCGAGCAATTGACTGCTGTCAATCTTTGACGTGAACCCCAAGAGAACGCCATGCAGCAGCCGGCCCGCTGAGAAACATGGGAGAGGTAGGGCGGTGGACAGGGGTAGCCCCGAATCGGCGGGGACGGCAGGGGCTTAGGCGCAGCCCAGCGCCTTATTGGTGTGCCGAGGAACGAATTGCCAGTCATTGGAGACCTATTTTGGTGGCATTAAGTTTCTGTGCTTCCAAATGTGTCGTTTATTATAATAACTTCGAAACGAAAGCGATGTCTACATTGAGCGCAGAGTCCAAGTTAGCAAGTAATCAACGTGGTGTGACAAAGATAAGTAAGGTCGATATGGAAGAACCTAGGTAGGTAGCAATACCAGAATTTGGATTAAGCGTTGGTGACAATAGGCACGCTAACAAGGTGCTAGCTGGGTACGCTACTTGGTACGTACGTTGACCAAGTTGCTGCACAGCATCTCGGGTGCGTTATCGAGGGGAAAAAAAGTCACAAAGATCTTTTTGGCGAGTGTCGGCATGGGCGGTGGAGATGTCCCAATGGGGGGTCACACCGACGGCCTGGGCCGGCTGCAGGGACGGACGGGACCCGGTTGCGGGCTGGGGGCAGCGGTCCCAGTCATTGTCAAGGGATGAACAAACGGGCAGCGCGAGATGCGACGTCGGGGCAGAAATTCTTCAGTGTTTCAGTTGCTGTACTTCCGTGGCTAGTGCCGTCGTCGATATGAATGCCCGCAAGTGTTGGGGTCCGAACCGGCTTCATGGCAGCAAATGCATCGGATCGTAACGGAGGACGGCCCTGTAAAGACCCACAGGTCTCGGGCAGATCAGCTTTCGGGGGAAAAAAAAGGATTCAGGGGCAGATGGACAGATGTGATGCGTCTGTTTTTCCATGTTGGGGGCCGGACCGACCGATGATGAGCAATATACCGGCGAAACCTTAAGTCTCGGAGCTGGCTCCCGGTGAGGGGTGTTGCGGGCATCTTGATTCTTGCGCGGATGGGGTCCGTTTCAGGATTCGATATTCCGGGCGCATGATTGGGACTGTGGTCGAGCTTGGGATTCGGAAAAGGTAGCTGAAGCTGCATGAGATATCTCGGAGCTGAGCTAAGGAATGAGGTGATGAAGCGATGGGCTGATGAGGGGTGGTTCCGGGAGGGGGAGGGATACGTTCGCTTCTGCTAGTGTAGGTACGATTGGCAAGGTCAGGAAAGATAGGAGAAAGGATGGCCATGCTTGGGCAGCAAAAATCAAGCTATCGGTAGAATAAGGTAGCTAGCTCGATGAGCTCTGGGAACTGGCAAAGAAGCTTCGGAGTGGCGGTCGCAAGTTTCCAAGCTTTTGTTGGTTGTCAAACGGTCGCGAGTTGGATGGTGGAGAGACGAAAGCTATCAAAGGTCACGTCGAGGACGGGAAGAGGAAGGATCGACCGGACCGTTGTGACTCTGGTCCATTGTTCCTACCTTACCGGTCCTTGGGTAGGCAGGTACTCACTACTCCGTATGTTCGCACCTTACCGCCGCTGAGGTGCTTTAGGTTGGCTGGACCTGGACCGCAGATTTTCCGAATGGAAGGCACCAACTCCCGTGGACCTCACTGGGGCGGCTCGGACTCGATGAGAGGCAGCTTCGACCTTACCTTGAGCCTTGAGGTACCTACCATACTGTCGCCCTTGCCAACATCGTGCGCTAGGGTTCCGCACGTAAACTCGCACGTAAGGCACCTCACCTTGCCTTAAGGTGTCAACGTCGCCTTCGATCCTGGGAAGGCGCATTGCGGCCGACAATCTGTCGGTTGGAACTGGGGCCCGGGCATGGACGTCTTTGGGTCTTTGGGTCTTTGGGTCTTTGGGTCTTTGGGTCTTTGGGGCTCCGTTGATGCCTTGCCATTAATCATTGCCCACTACCAGTCCGTCCGTCCATAACGCCCACATCGAGCCGGATTTCTTTATCCAACGCTTTCTGTGCCGCTCTGCGCCTGGATTCCTACTGCGACCCTTTGGCTTGCACGCCGTTGCATTTTCTTCACGGCGCAATCGTATACTGCCTCCATACCTTTTCTGTCCAGAGAACTCGATGTCTATCACCTCTGCGCCGCATCCATAATTCAGCCAAGATGTAATTCAACATGGTGGAGAGAATCCCGCGGGAAGTGCCCGGCTCATCCTAAATGGCGGTATAAGTCTAAGTCATGACATTGCAGCACACTGCCCTACTTTTGGTCTTGGCCTATTTGGCGGAACCTTCACTTACACAGTACACTTCTACAGATATTTGGTAATGAATTGATTGGGGATGGATCACCTCAGCGACCGTGAAAATTGAGTTGGTCCCCACCGGAAGTGCCTGCCAGGCTCATTACCTAAGATGCCCATCGTCGCCTTGCGGCTTGCCAGAGTTTCCGTGATTCAAGGTGGCCGGCAATATGAAGGCAGGGGAGGGGGGGAAAGGGAGACAAGGGTCGGCGCTTAACCCAGTGGTATTTTTAGCAGCCGACTTCCGTCTCCCGGCTTGATCCCGTTGGCTGACCATCACACCGACGACATTTGAACAGGGGTCTCACCACACCAACTTCGTCCCAAAAAGAAATCAAGCTGTCAACGGCCGCGGCGACCCCATTTGTTCAAGCCTCGTTTGACCTAGACATCCAGCATGAACGCGGAAACGAACCGGATTGACCTCTGCCATGCAAGTCTAGGACTCCATACTTGAAATTCGCATCATCACTACCATGTACCAGTCCGTCGACGAAATCCAGTTTTCGATCTACATCACCAATGAAAAATTTTGCATTTTATTATTGTTAACAGCTGCTTAGCCATGTTGGACATGAGAACCCAGGGGAGCGCCAGGACCAACGGCTCCCCGCTTTGCAAAGAGGGCAAAAGATCCATCACATCTCGTCACATACCGGTATTACTATCAAATCATCTTACTCGGCAACGTTCTGCAGTCGAGATATTCTTTTGGCACAATCAGACAAGTGCTGCCATCTGCCACCTAGATATTCTAAGCTCCGGGTGCTACTCTGTACAACAGGTAGCGAGCTAAATGGGCGACCCGGATCCAAATTGGTACCCTGACATTGCACACTGGTCTCATCTGCAGCCTGATCCAACCAGTTGGTTCTGCCACTGTCATCTGAAGACATTGGATTGCACCGCTTCCCGACCCAGCTGCGAACCATCTGGCACAGCTGATTACGCCCACTACAGTGTCCATTTGGTCGCACGACACACTGCAGTCCACCATGGCATCCTTGCCCTGAGGCGTTCACGACATAGCCCGATCCGCGATGCATTGCATTTCTTCCTATTCCATCACCACGGTTGTTGCATGGCATAGGGCGGCCCAGCAAGCCCCAGGATCGACGATCGCGGACTGTTCTCTCCTCACCAGACAGACACGTCTCCCGTTCTTGCTCTGGCAGAAGCAACACACCCACCCCACGGCTCTTCTCTCGGTTGGATGTCAGCCAACCCGCATCAGCCACGGACACTCATCGCACCTTACCTACTGTCAAGGCTATCGGTGGTGCTATCCTTCACTCACACTGCCTTGCTGCAAGTCATCAAACAGCTTTACGTAATCGACGACCGATTGTCCAACTAGCCTGCGCATGTCTTTACCGCCCGACGCGGCCGTCCAACTCAGCGGCCGAGAGAACCGAAGAAGTTGTCCGATCGGCAACAGCTTTGTTTATCCAGAGCCCTTCTCTAGCCCGGGTTTTACCAACTCTACACGGTTCAAGCTCTTGACAAAGCAAGAATTTTCCCGGTGTAAATACTGTACAAAGGCGACATCGATCAGGCGATGCATCTGAACAACCTTGAGTGCTCTTCACGGGATCCGTAATCCAGCTGACGAGAATCGCACTACAGTTGTTCGGCCGTTGGAAGGATCCTGTCGAGCGGCCCGGAGCGAGGGATTCCTCGTGTTCCTGCGGACTAAGGCGTGTTTGCCATGCTCAACACATGGTCTTAACAAACCTCTTCGACAGCTTTCCACCAATGGCGCGTTTTACCTGCGGGCCGTAGCCTTGCTATCCGAGGAGTGGGCTACAACCTGGAATTTCTTGCCCTTTACCGGCACCTTTTCTTCTATCCGAGATCAAAGACAGATTTCGAGATGCACACACTAGATTCTTGAGGCAGTGCCTCGGTAGGAAGGCCGTGAAGGAGCCAAGCCGCTCCTGCTGCGTGGGGTAACACGCGACGCGGCTCTGGATACCCGCACTCCCTCTATCCACCGGATCACTGCTTGGCCTTCCCGTCACGCATATCCCATCACATCGCCAGACTCAGCCCCCATTACCCACCATGGGCGGCTAGAGTCACCAACTCTAGGACGCCACCTTCATACTGGAACCTATCATCTCTCACTCAACTGCCGGTCTCCAGGTTCTTCACGCCCTCGGATCCAAACTTGTCCATAACGAGCCACGCGCCTGGCGCCAAAATTAGCGCAGCCGACATACTCCATCTTGAAGACAAGTGTTTTCCTTTGCAGAGGCAACAACACTCAGCGCCCTAAGCTGCTGCCTTGTCGCTGGAGGTAACAGTATGCGCCATGCCCCGTATTCGAACGTCGGCTGTGTGTACCTGCTTGACAGCTGCGGACCCCATGATGCCATACACATCCGAAGGATCAGCTGTCGAAGCAGCTCTCACGATCCGTAGCGGAGCCTCTTTGCTCGCGGGCCCGAGCTGCAGCCATGCAGGTACCATGCTCGAGTCGGAGTGCGGCGAAACTTGGCCAGGTCACGATTCGGTATGCGGGATGCAGGGAACGAGTAGCCGCGTGAATATGCGAATCTACGCCATGCCTTCATGTCGAAACAGGACCCCAACGGAGAGCTGAACGAAACCACAACGTTGAAACCTCGTGTTCGAAAATAAAGGATGCTCTCGACCTGGACAATGCACGAGTCTATTACCTCTTCCGTCTACGGCCGCAAGGCCTTGACCTGTTCCCATCAATGACACTACGAGGGGTTTGGAGTCTGGCCTAGAGGGGAAGAACGTTGAGCTTGACATGGTAGTGGTTGGTCCCATGGGGGGAAACGGCAAGGAGCGTTGCCGAACCATCCCCGTGGGCGGTGATCAGCAAGGAAGACTTTCACCCTTTGGTCTCTACCGCTTCCAACATGCTCCTTGGCGAGACGTGCAGTTGGAACGGGCGACCTGGCTTGCGGCCGAGAAACGCACATCCCGTTCGGCCCTGATAGGCTCACCCGCTAGGTTCGGGTGCGAGTGCGAAGGCCGTTGGAACCTTTGATCCGTCACCAGAGGGTAAGGACATGGAATACCGTGCCAACCTACACTCTTCTACTATCGCCACATCGCGGCCCGGGTGCTTGACCCGTCCTCTACCTGGTTAATGATGTCCCGAAGGTAACCCCGGAATACTTGATGCTCCAACCAGGAAGGTAGGTCTCCCGGCGAACCATACCCTTGGCTTTCTATCATCACGCTAGTGCGAATCATGCGACGAACCGTGCCTTTGGACGAGGATCACATCCTGCCGTTCAGCGCCACGAACGTTGGCACGAATTTTGGCGCGGGGGATATTCAGCCTCACGATGCGCCTAGCGGCCTGGACGGGCCCATCCGCTAAAGATGACGGGTTAACGAGCTGCCAACGCCTCCCGTCCGTCTACTTGAAACAAAGACCTCTATCCCGTGAGTATGGGCACGCCCCCAACTGGTCAGCCCAGAGGAGCTCTGCCGGTATGGATGCTACTATCACCCAACTGTGTTAACCCTGTGGTGAGACGATCAAGGACGACATTGCCACATACCACGCCCACGCCTCCCCATCTTGAAGGAAATCCACGATCCGGCAGCTCCCCGCGGGCGTCAAGGCAGACGCATGTCGGATGTGACGAACGGCCCTAAGCCGAGGGTGCCGTGGTAAGGCGGAAGCGTGATAGCATCATCTCATTGTCGTCACATCATGTAAATCACCACCGTATGTGATGGGAACGTAGTCAAAAGTTCGCGGCGGTTAAATCTTGGGGGCCAGTAGAAAGTGTAAAACCACAATGGCACAGCACGGAGCAGGTGTCGGTCACCGCCCCGATTCGCGGGGTGTGCGCCTGTGAGGAGGTGGCCTTTGCTAGGTAAGTAAGTATGCGGGAGGGGGGGGGGGGGGGGGTAAGAGCGGGAAGCAGCTCAACGGCCCAAGGTAGCTTTACGAGCCAGGTCCATCCCAGCATTAGAAGCTCTGGTCCAAAAGTTGGGATGATTTGCGAACCCCGGATCTTTTGCCCTGCGAGTATGACACGCATTTCCCCCTTCTAGAGTGCAAACGGAGCTTCGTGGCCACTTGAGACCTGAGCACCTGGGTATGGAGTTACCAGTAGCTTGGTGACCCATCAAGGCACATAGGTATCCTAGGTAGCCATCCATGTTGCCGGAACAAAGTCTCTGAACAGACAGTTTCTTCACTCAGGCTCATGATTTTCTGTAGTTCACGACCTCTCCTGCCCAAGCTAGGTAGCTCACGTGATAGAGGTAGATAGACAAGCACGCAGCCTGCCTCATGAGGAAGTTTCGGCAATTTGAGGTTTTCTTTTCGTGGAGGATAAGTTAGCTATGTGGTGATAGTAGCAGATCTCTATGCAATAAAATAACCAAAAGAGAGGGGGCTTTTGCCACAGAGTTGCCCTCTCAAGGTAACGTAACAAGACACTCTCAAAACGCCATTTCTCTTCCTTTTTCGACAACGAAGAGTGCCCAACAATAATAAGTACAACAACAGGTAGTTAGTCAAAACGTGGGGTTGCGTGGGCGCGTGTGTTCCAGCATCATTCTCTTCCGTTTTTGTGTAGACCATCCAAGTCCGTTCATTTTCCTCCTCTCTCTCTCTCTCTCTCTCTCTCCCACCCGGTGCAATAGTAATTAGGTATGAGGGAGTATGATCTCGGTGAATTATGAGGTGCTCGCCGCGGCGGTAGACTGTTGAGGAACGACCCGGCCGCGGGGGCTCTTACCGTCGCTCTCTGACTCGTCGTCGCTGTTGCGACGGCTGGGGCTATCTTGGTCGCTTCGCTTGCTCTTGGTCATCTGTGCGTGGCATTGTCAGCTAAGATATCCAAAATGAAGTGTGCTTCGTGGTGGCATTTCCAATGGAGACGGGGATGAGGTAAAACTTACCCATGAGCGGACGCCACCGACGAGACCCAATGCGTAACCCGTGATAAAGTCATTGGACTGCGTCGCGGCGGGCGTGCCACCAGGCGTGGTCGGTATCTCGACGCTGAGGCGGGACTTGCTCGCGTTGGCGTTTGCGGCGGCCAGGAGGTCGCCGTTCTGGATGTAGGCGGTGCGAGCAGAGGGCGCGGGGGATTGCGGCCGGGAGGCGGGCCAGAACTGGCGCAGCTCGCGAGAGAGCTCCTGACCGGTAGTAGACCAGTTTGTGCGGATGTTATCGCGCAGCTCCTGGACGTGGCGCTTGAGGTCGAGCTCGTTCTTCTTGATCCAGCTGACGTTGAGCTCCTGGCGCGACGTACCGCGCTTGAATTGACGAGCAATGTACTTTTCGTAATCGCGCACGATCCTGGTCAAGGCAGCTGTTAGTAGTTGTTCATAGCCATAACCTCCAAGCAGCAATATAGAGACGAAACAGACGAAGAGATAATCCGAGGGATTTAGACGTACTTGGTAATGATACCGGTCGTGCTGACACCTTCTGTGCGCTGAGTAACAAGGAACTTTCCAGCCTCCTTGATAGGCCTGTAGATGTCGTCGCCTTCGTCGGCACCGTAGGGCAGGTCATCGTGGGCGACGTAGTCGATCTTGTGCTCGTCGAGGAATTCGGGCGTGACAATCCATGGACAACTCTCAATAACCTCGTCCACCCACTTGCAATGCCGGACGGTCTCTGCGCGCTCGGCGCCGGAGAGGACCGTCAGACCCTTGCGCTTGTGCGTCTCGGCGTCACCAGTGACGCCGACGATGAGGTAGGTGTCGGGGAAAGCCTTCTTCGCCTGCTCAAGCTGGCGCATGTGACTGCGCGAGGGGCAAGAGAGTCAGTATGACCAAATTCCTTGCCGGAGGGGGGGGGGGGGGGGGGGGGGGGGGAGACTCGGCGGGCGACCGCCTGTCCCTTCCGGCGATTCCAATAAACCGCGAGGACGAGAGAAGAAAACCGACCACACGCCGACCCACCCCCGCCCCCCGGTGGGAGGCCGACGACGCGGAGGGTGCAAGGGGGGGGGGGGCGCGGGGGTACGACACATTGGGGGCGAGCTCTATCGACTTCCGCGACGTTTAGACTTACCCGAGATGGAAGAGATCAAAGACTCCGTCGGCGTACACCCTGACGGCCCGGCCAGTAGGAGGATCGTTGGTTCTGAAGCCCACGGGGTGGGTGAGCTTGCCAGTGGGCGGGGGCGGCATGGCCTCATCCTTCTCGTCCTCCTTTATCGAGACCTGCTTGCGGCTGTTCTTGCGGCCGACGCGCTCGGCAATGTCGACGCTGGCCTCGGTGGTGTCGCTGGGTTCACCAGGGTCGAGGGAGTGGTCCTGCGCGGCGGCGGCGGTCTGCTGGTTGTTGGCGCTCGTCTCGTGAGAACGCTCCGAGTTGGCACGTTGCCTCTTAGGAGGGTGGCCGGCGGATGTGGAGTCGTTCTTGCGGTGGCCGGCGATACGGCCGGACTCGGGAGCGGTGCTGTCACCCTCCTCGCCCGAGGCATCTCGCGACGAGGCCTGGAGGGCGGCGTCGACTGTGTCGGCGACGTCGGGCATGTTGGTGGGGTTTGTCGCGTTGGTGCGTTTCCGCTTGCCTGCTGCCGAGGAACCTGAGGGAGAAGACATGGTGTCTTTATTTGTGCGTAGTGTGTGTGAGGGGGCAGGTTGCGAGGTGGGAAGATGGTTTTGCTTGCTGGTGGTGGTGGTGAGGTAGTATGTGTCGTCAAGCAGCAGGCCTCTGGCGTCCTCCCGCGTGAACTTGCTAGTTGCGACTTAGGTAAGGAAGGGGGTTTGTATGGGTCGAGCGAGGTGTTCCCTGTAGATCGGCGTACTATGTCGTAGGGTATGGGAAAGTTGGATTTGCAGGCTGGTAGGTGTCTCAGCTCAGGAGAAGTTGGAGCTGGGTTTCTAGATTTCCCAAAGGTGTGGGTGTCGTGCCTTGATTTAGAAATGTTAGGAGGGGTGGGTAAGGCAATGATGATGATGATTATGATGCCGTAGGCAAAAGACGGAAAGGCGAGGACGTGACAGGACAGGACAGACTAGATGGACAGACAGACGGGTCGGGGCAAGGGGGGAAGTAGACACGGCTTCTGTTTGGTGCAAAGTGCCAACGAAGCAGAGCTGCAGGATACCCGATGCTTGACGGGCAGGGCAATGGGACATGAAGGAGGAGGGAAGGCGTTAAGTTGGTAGTCGGTGTACACTTACGCGGTTATGGCAAGGCCAGTCCAGTCCAGTAGGAGGTGGTGCTCGGGTGATTGAGAGATTGCGAAGTCAAGAGGAGGCAGATGCGCATATGATGATACCCGACGGAAGCAGACCTGCAGCTAGTGGGGGGAGGAGCGTCTTGTCCGGTCGGCGGGACGCTGACCACGGGATTGAAACTTTTTTTTAAGGTTGGCCCTGGCTGGTTATTGATGATGGATCGAGAGTGTCAATTGAGGTAGCTGAACTGCTGCGGTGTAGGACTTGAAGCTTCGTCAAGCGCGGGTAGATTGTCTGGTATCAAACAAGAGCTTCTTCTTTTTTGACTTGTGATTTTGAGCTTGAATCCTTGGTTTATTGGATAGCGCCCTTCCTTCGTATCTACTGAGTCTAGACCACAGTCGCGTGTCACGACTTGGGAAGATACCACGATGCTCATCGAGATTTGGCCATACACGAAACCACGCTTACGATTTCTACGCGACCATGCCACAGTGTTCCAGCACCAAAAAAGAACTCAGAAATATCTTAGCATGCACCCCTCCTATTCCAACGCTGTGAAAGAATTCCGGGGCACGCATTTGTTCCCTGTCCGCGTCCATTGTTCGTTAGAGGAGCATGGGGCATGCCGTACACAGCACAGGTAGGAGCAGGGGGGGCGAAGGTGACGGGATGGAGAGCAAGAACACCCCGATGGGAAATTTGCGGCTTGTGTTGTGGCTCCGAGCTTGTGCAGCTGGTCTTGCTGGACTTGGAGGCGGATTCTGTCGTAATTGCCAGCGTTGTGCAAGGAAGTGGCGTCATCGTGCTGTGTGGCTGAACTGAGCTATGCACTGCACAATTACGTCGAGGGAGGAGCCAGAAAGGACGTCGTGGCTTGGCTGACACCAGCCAATGTTCGAATACCAAATGGACGCAAAAAAATGCTTTTGCGGGTCAATTCTGCCCGGCAGGGATGACGAGTTTTTGTTGGGGAGGATGTGGGTTCTTTCATGTGGAGGAAGGGGGAACGGCCGCACGGAGAAGGAGCTGTCTGTTCTGGGACTGGAAAGAATACGTACCGTTTCTGAAGCCAATGCTGCCAGTTGTCACTTCCACGGACGCCTGCCAAATGGGAGAGCCAAAAGGGATGCGACAAGTCGACACGTGGTGGTTCGGGTGAACCTCGGATCGATCCGAGTTGCATCTGGCAGCCTCTGAGCATGTAACCAACCTTTGCTGGCGGGAGCACCATTGCTGTAATATCGTAAATCATTGACGACGCCATGTTTAATATTCCAAGCATCGAAATGGGCAACTATGCGAGCAAGGTCTGTATATCAAAATGAACAGCAGAAGGTTAATGCGTCTCCATGTTCGACCCACCTGGCTGGGATATAACCGCTGCATGAATTAGTGACTGATTGGCAATCTTGGATGAGGTGAGATATGTCGATTTGGCACGACTCTATTCCGTGACTTTGGCCCATGGAATGACTCCGGTCAGGTCGGCGTAGAAACTAGGCGAACTGGCGCGGGCGGAGACAACCAGCCGGTCGAGTGATCGGTGACCGGAATGAGTGGATTTCCGGACGATCGCCGGTTGTGGAGCCATGCGGAGCACCAGTTCGGGTCAACATCCGGCAACACGCCGTATCCTACCAAGGCTATTCAGAATGCGCCCACTCCCAGAATAGCTAGGTCATGCTTATCAGAGGTGCTTGAGTCCCAGGCATCGGCTTTGAGGGCGTACAGCCATAGCAAATCATTGGTGTAGCAATGTGTTGGATACCGCGAGAGTTGTGTTACAGAGTCCGGTGCGCCTCGGCTTATCTCAGTATCTACAGATTTCGAATGCTCTCCCACACTCGCTAAAAATTGTTCGTTATACCTTTATCCCTCTCTCGAGATGGTACTCGTGAGAAACATATCACACTCATGAATCGTTCTACCTGCCGCCATTGCCTCATTCTGCTCCATTCCGTTGGCCATCAAGGTTCCCAGCGCTGAGATGGAGCCATCAGAAACATCCCGGACAGGGATCACGGCCATCGTCTCTGCCTATCATTGGCTTCACAGCTCTCTGTAGCTGGCCATCAAGGTTGACATAGCTGTAAGTGGAAGTCCCTTGTGACGAGGTGACTGAGGGAGGCAGGTTCGGGGCAATAAGTAATGAGATGGCAAACAAAACCGCCCGGATCCCGCGAGAGTTGCCTCTCTTCGACTACCTCTCGCATTACATGCTGTTCACTGGCTTTTGACTTCATCTCATCATGACAGAAGCATTCATCCACGACGTTCTCATCATCGGCGCCGGCCCCTGCGGTCTAGCCGTTGCCTCCCGCCTATGTGAACACTCTCCCTCAGCCCTCTTCACAGACGAAGAACACCAGCGGTATCACTGGATCCGCAAGTACGGCCGCCGAATGCCCCTGAAGAACAGACGAAACGGCAACATCATTGAGAAGAGGACACCGGAACGCAGCCAGCGGTACTCGACGCTGGTCTTGGACGCCACGGGCGACGAGTGGATGAACCGCTGGAACCGTCTCTTCAAGACATTCGACATCACTCACCTCCGGAGCCCCATGTTCTTCCACGTTGACCCGAGTGATCGCGACGCCCTGCTCGCCAGAGCTCACGAGAGGAACCAGGAAAATGAGTTACAGGAGCTTCGGGCGTGCGTCGGAAAGGAGATTAGCAAGCATCTGCGCAAGGCGAGGCTCAAGTCACGAAACCCAAAGTAAGCAGCAAAACCTCGCTCCTTGCACCTGTATCTCTGCACAACCGATGGTAACATGGCTTTCTCACAGACAACACGCCGTCGTTGAAGTCGACGAACGAGACCGCAAAGATTACTTCACGCCTCCCACAAACCTCTTCGCCAACCACTGCGAATGCATCGTCGACCGCTACGGCCTCCGCGAAGGCCTCATCCAAAACGAAAAGGTGGAGGATATCCAATACCGCACCGTCAAGCAAGTCTCCCCAGACGCAAACCTCTTTGCCGTTCACACAAACAAGGGAACGCACTACGCGAGAACAGTCGTCCTGGCCGTCGGCCCAGCCAACGCGCCCACGATCCCTCCCATCCTAGGCCTCAACAGTGAACCGGGTTGCGCGGCGCCGCCTCAGGTCTGCCACAGCATGCAGATCCAAAAGTTCCCCGACCCGGTCGTGCAGGCCAAGATCTCCGCAAAGAAGGCGACAAACGTCCTTGTCGTGGGCGGCGGGTTGACGTCGGCGCAGTTGTCTGACCTGGCTATCCGGCGCGGCGTGACCAAAGTCTGGCACCTCATGCGCGGCCCTTGCAAAGTGAAGCCGTTTGACATCGACCTCGCGTGGATGGGCAAATTCCGCAACGTGGAGCAGGCGTACTTTTGGTCCGCGGACTCGGATGAAGAGAGGCTGCAGCAGATTCAGAGCGCCCGAGGCGGAGGCAGCATCACGCCGCCATACCAGAAGCGGTTGAAGCAGCATATCGCAAAGGGCAGCTTGCGTCTCTTGACGAACACCAAACTATCCGAGGCTCATTTTGACGAGGAGAAGAAGGTGTGGAACGTCAAGACGGAGCCGCCGGCTGCTGATGGTGACCTGCCGGGTATGGACTTCATTTACTTTGCTACGGGCGTGCAGACGGATTATGCGAGCTTGCCGTACTTGCAGACGATGCTACGTGAGCATCCCATCCACGGCCACGGAGGCTTGCCGTGCATCGACGACGACCTGAAATGGTCAAAAGACGTGCCGCTGTTTTTGTCGGGAAGACTTGCCGCGCTACGTCTGGGACCCGGCGCGGCTAATCTCGCGGGCGCCCGGGCGGGTGCTGAGAGGATTGCGTGGGCTATCGAGGATATTCTTCCGGATCGGACTGGTGATGTACCGGGGGAGTCTGACATGAGTGATGAGAAGATGAGGTTCGTGACGGGTAGGGGGAACAGATTTGATAGCTTGATTACAGCGGGAGATGGTGATTGGTAGTAGCCTTGATGACAATTGAACGAGACAAAGATGAACAATACCTCAAGAGAGTACTTTAAGGCCATGATGGTTCCTTTAACCTCTCAATCTTTCTTCTAGCCTCAGGTGTCGAAACATGGAGTCCGTCATTCATTGAGATTATCTAGAGGGGAGCAAGCATTTGCTGGGTATGAACCAGAGGCTGCGAAATAGGCCGAATGGCCATTACAAGAGTTCTTGGAGCGACCTCATCTGGCTTCCGATACTATCAAATTCAGGTATGACCACAGACTATAAGAAAATAACCAAGACTGGCGTCTGGGATGTTAGATGTACAAACACGGTCGCTCATTCGGCTTTTTGGCTTGCTTGGGAGCAGCGTCCTCAAGTTTGGCCGCGACTCACTGAACGAACATTCCGGCCAAGACGGCTCGTTCGAATTGTAAGTATGTCCTCCACTCAACCCTTTTTCTTTATCAACACCACGCATCTTACCATCTTCCTGGGCTTCTGAGGTAATTCACATGGAGAATACGTTAGGGAAAACAGGTTGAAGAGGCAGAGTGTGGTGATATCTTCGGTGGTAGAGACACAATCTTGCTGAAGACAGAAAGGCATTTGGCCCACAGTCTTCACATCTTGGGGGAGTGCAGATCCCTCAATCAAGAGCTTCGTATCCCTTGCGGTGTAATTGTGGCGATTAGCTTCATTCGACTTTTAGCAAGTATTTATACTCATCAGGCCTGTCTCGATCGATCCGTGCGGTGTCGTTTGTGTGTCTATCCATAAACCATGTACTCCCTGTAACTCTTTGCGGCGTCAAGACAATGCCTAATGTCTATCTCCTATAGTTTTAGGACATTGGAGTGAAAAATTGGATACCACACTGCCGAACGTCACAAGTACGCGGTGTCTTAATTGACAGAACCCAATTGACATATCATCTCCGAATACGTGTTGCTGTTAGGTTTACTTTTGGCAAAAAGCTACAGGCCTAACAGGTTCATAAACACTTGGAGAGTACGAGCATGCTGAAAGGCATTCAAGCACCACTCAGACTTATCTCACCAATGGAAGAAAGCCTGCCTCAATTACCAGTCAGGACATCAGTGAGCAACATCGCTGCGTCCAGTCTGTTATACAGACTGACATAAAGTCGAATAAAGGACCTGTGACTAAGCTCCCACCATATAGGAACAACGACGTTGACCGAAAGTCCGCTTCAGTTATCTGTCGGCATTGGTCACCGGCCCGAAGTATGGCGCGGAGTCCCGTACTTCTCGGACCCGGATACATACGACATCTCCTCGATATTCGTCATCTTCCGGACCAAGCCATGTTACACCATGTCTTTGGCTATGGATGCCAGATGGCGCGTTCATAATCAAATAATCTTCAGCTATCGCAGCCCTAGTCTCCGTAAACATGCCGCGCAAGACCTACCATTCCGCCGGTTCCGCCCTGTTGGCTTCATTGACGTTCAGGTCGACTTTCTCCACTCGTATCCCATTTGACCCGAAGTGTGCTTAGTGAGATTCAGACTTTCCATTTTTCGTCTACACCACCATCTGCCGAGGTCCCAGATACACCGATGCGATAAAAAGTACCCGCGTGGCTGCGAATTAGTCTAGAACTCAATCCCGTTATCTCACTAATTTCGATATGTTCCTGGCTTGGCGAGAGGAGCTCATCTATCCGTACCGATGGCCAACTTTGGTGGCGAGTAGAAAGCACTCGAAAATAGACTCGCGCCATGTTTGGACGAAATAAGATATCCGGTATATCTGACATTTTTTCCAAGGCCACCAATAGTCCGAGGATCTAGGTACCATCAGGTACAGCACCAGATAGACCGCAGCGATTCCCCACCTCGTGTTTACAATTAGACGTATACCACACCATCGCACCACCTAATATCACCGAGGAGAATAGCCCCGAAAGCCGCGGCTTTTCCTTCACGCTTCATCTCTCTGGAACACCTACCACAGAGGGGCTTTCGCCAAGAGATCCAACATGAGCCCATGCGTCGAGCCCGCTTACCTCATCCCGAAAGCGAGAACAGAAACGACCGACGTTCGGTTCATCCGGAGACACCGACCTTGGATCTTTATTCTTCCCAGGTCTCATCCAAGACCGTAGACGAAGAGAAGGAGTGGAGAGAGAGGAAGAGGTGGAGGCCGCGTCTTCAATGCTATACTATCACCCGGGTTTCCCGCTTCGCGCGGACTCCCTCTCGCTGGCCCCCCCCCATCGGGCCGGTATGTGACAAGGTATGGCCGCTCTGTAACCATTCCTCAAGGATGCTTCAATATACTTTCTTAGACCTCACCTTGCCCTGGACCTGAGTCGAGTGCCTGGTTTTCTCTGGGCCCTTCCTCCTCTCCTCCCACTCCCACTTCGACTCCACCTCCACCTCCCGCCCCAGAGCCGCGCGCGCGGCCGCTGCGGCCCCCAACTTAATACCAAAGGCTTCTCCCACCGGCGAAAAGCTGCCATCTAGAGCTCGTATACCAGTTCCAGTCACCGGTATGAATAAACCACCAGTGATTGCAGTCCGTATTTCGGGGCGTTTCTATGGAACACAACGGCGAGCCGTCTTTCGTCGTTCTTTCTCCACGGGCAATACCTAGTTTCTGCCATGTGACAGAGGGGGCCTCGCCGGGGTCGGCCCTACCCACAACACGGATAGGTGGCGTTCTAGACCTGGAGAAAGGGCGGAAGTGCGAGGTGATCGGAGGAGTTACGCGGAGAAGATGGAGGGGTCGGGAGAGTCATGGCATGCACTGTGAATCCGGGGCAAACTCGAGTTCCCTCTTCCTTTTTGCTCGAAATGCGAGGCTCACGAACCAGGCCATTATGTCATTTTCCGCCTTTGCGACGAACGCCTCGTCGAACTAATTAGTCAACTCCATGGGGAGCCTCACTCATGCTACGCTATGAATCTCATGCTGATGAATATCGACGTTTCTCGGCTATATAGCTGTTCTTAATGAGGCGGTTCAAAGCACATCGAGTGGGTGGTTCATGAGTTTTGTGTGGAATAAAGTGTTCTCTTTTTGCCACTCAGTCGCTGACTGACACATTCGCTATCTGCCCATATAACACCAAAACCTAGATCCCTGGCCCCAAGCTCATCCAATTTACCCCAGACGCCGTCGCAATATCTCGCCATCCTCAAGAGTTTGAGTATGTGAATGTGTGAGTCCTTGTTTAGAACACTGCTCTGAAAATGTTGAACAAGAGCGATGATTTTGCGCTCTATATACAAAAAAGATGTTTTTGTTCATTCGACACTTTCGTCCACGAAACCTTTGCCAGCGCTCTTTTTGCGTAGTGTGTTGTTTCTCTCCCGCGGAATGACGATCCTGTTTCTCATCTTGCAAAGAAGAATCAAACGCTTTGTGTGGGTTGTGAACCGTAAAATCCCCCGGCTGGTATAACCTCCCAATCCGTACTGTGTCGTCGTAGTCTCTCTCGATATGTACACTCTATGTAGCCAGGTTGTTTGTAAATGCAAAAGAAAAGGGGTGAGTGTAACAACATGAAGAAACAAACTTTTGCAAGCCAGGGCCAAAGAGAACCTTACGGCATTGCAATACGCTTTCCGCTTGTCATCTCGATGACGGCAAAACTTTCATCGACAGTTCAATGCCTGATAACAATATCAAAAATTCCAAGGCGCGCTTTAATTTCGCTCAATCGGGTTCTCCCACTTGATCGGGTGCAGCAGCATGCTGCGCATGCACAAGCGACCAGAGCTGTCCTTGTGAGACTCTTCATCTTGGCCTCCGCGTAATGTGCCCTCGCCGGCACGGCCGCCGTTACCGCCACGGCCGTCCATCTGGGGGTAACCGAGCCATCGGCGCCAGAGGAGTCCGGCAAACTCTGAGTTGTAGTACCAGCTGGTACCCTTGTGGTTGTGCTCGTTCTTGAGGTCAAAGGGGCTGCCGTGACCTCCTGTAGTGCCATCGCGGCCGCCGTTGAAGGCCTTCTCGATGGTGTTAAAGGGGTACCATGCTCTATCCAGAAATACTGGGTGAGGTGCGTAAGCCGCCTTGAAGCCGTGGTGGAGAGCCATGCTGGCGGGGAACATTTCCGAGAACATGCTGTGGTGCAGACGCCACATCTCCTCATGCATGGCGGCCAAGAGTCGGCGAGATAGTCGTGAAGCTGTGACAATGGAGCATCGGCGTGGTGGCGGAGCAAAGACCATTTCGTAGCCAGTGACATCCTTGGCGAAAACCCAGCCGGATTCGTCGGCGTCGAAGAGGGGATTCAATGTAATGAGGTCGGCTTCCTCACCAACACCACACTCGTCGGGGTTGCCACCGCGGGCGCAGGAAGCGGGCAGAATGGAATGGCCAGCCTCCTCACTCTTCAGCGACATGCGACCGGGGAAAATTTGGGGGCCCAGGATGGCGCGGCGGCCAGATGCGTTGAGCTCTCTCTCGACGACACTGGCGAATTCGTTCCATGAACCGTGCTCGGCGGGGATGTAGTACTTGGATGATCGCTCCCAGAGAAGGGTGCGAGTCTGTTGCTTAGCCCAGGACCCCAGGCGGTCGAGCAATTCGTAGTATGAGCCAATGTAGCGCATATCCATCTCCCAGTTCCAGAAGTGGGCGTATTCCGGGTGCTGAAGGGCGAAGACCTGGAGGGGCATCTGGGCGCTGCGGTAAACTCCGTGAATGTCTCCATTCGAGGGATTCTCAATGGCGTCGGCGAAGTGACCCGGGTAATAAAGCTTCATCTCGGCCTCCGACCATAGAGTACAGAGCGAGTGGAATTCGGTGGGAACGTTGGCATCGAGGATACTCTGCACTACTGAGGGGTCCGACCAGATGGCAGCCTCGTTATCCTTCACATGGAGAAGAAAATGAACGCTGTACTCGCCACCAGACTTGAGGGAGAGCTCGGAGATCATCGCGCGGAAGTTGACAATGGCGAGCTGTGTCCACTCGAATCCTACGTAGGTGCGGACGACAACGGCAATTCGATCAATCTGCTTGACTCCGGTCTCGTTTGTTTCGGGCTCACTGTAAATCGAGTCGTACGTGCTCTGCTTGGTGCCATTGTTGAAACGGGCGCTGTTGCGTTCGATACATCGATCTTGCGCGACACCCCAGTCAACACGGCTGTAATCGATCTTGCCAGTCTTGGTCCAAACAATGTCAGCTCCCTCTTGTTCCGTATCTTGACCTTGAGAAGTGCCTCCCTCGCGAATGTCGTAACCAAGTCCGTAGGGGCCGTAGCGGCCGAATCGATCGAAACAAACGTCATTGCGTAGGCCGAGCACGGTGTGGGAGCCGATGGCCGGATCGGGCTGGTTTTGGGGGACACCATCAAATGCCCAAATGTCGGGGACTGCGATCTTGTCTTCCTCATCGACAAAACATTCCTTGACAGGGTGGTATTCTTTCTGATACTCAGTAGACGCGTAGTTTGGGTGAGCTGCGTAAGGGGTGGGAGTAGGAGGGGTATCATGGTAAATCGGCACGGTGGTGACGGGTGCCGGAAAAGAGTTGTTGGGATATTCAGGTGTGTGATTGGCAATGGGAACGATGGACTTCAGACCATTGAAGTAGCCATTGAGACTTTATAGCATTAGCGGATTGCTCACAACTCTTAGAAATCGACATGGCACTCACTGCTTGAACTTGAGCCATGGCGGCATGTCACTGTCGATAATGAGATCTTCCTCTGGTGGCGCCGGCCTTCCCTGCTTCTTCGGGTCACCGCCCATTCCACCTATTCTGTAATCATCTCCTAGAATCTTTCCATCTCGGGTGTATAGTGGCGTATTCAGGTACGCGAGCGCGATCAGCATAGAAATTGTCACCGTCCATATCACAACCCTGCGATACAGGCAATGGCCTAGTATCGCGCGCACCCGGAGTTTCGGTTGTGGGATCGTAGTGGCTGGCGCGGGGAGAAAGAACTCCCCCTTCTCCTGTCCTGGGGTTGACTGAAATAATGAGTTTGAGCGGGATGAACGGGTGCTGGACCGGCTGCTGCTGATGGATCGTGTCGTGCTGGTGAGTAGAGAGTGTGCTCGCTCCATGATTGCCGGAGTGAGTAGTTGGGTAATTGGGTATCACAAAAACATCTGGTGATGGAAACTTGGCCTAGCAGAAAAAAAAGATCGAATGCAAGAAGGAGTGCGAGGGAAGGGGAGTAGCGAAGGTTAATACTATAAAGAAGGGAACAAAATTGTGCGAGTGACGTTTTTGCTTCCATGTCCAGACACCGGCTCAGACCTTACTTTTCAAACAAGCCAACTCCCTGCACAGAGTGTTGGACGTATAGAAGACACAAAAACTCACATATCATGCAACAGAGCGAGCAGATGGGACCGACAAGTCGGCAGCGGGGGGGTGGTTGACCGGGCTGATCTGCGGAGAGAGAGGCAAGCAGTCGGCCTGAGTTGGGATGTCCAGGGTTCGGGGACTGCCGAGCCTCCTTGCCTCTTTGGCTCTGACTTGACTGTCCACCATTCCCACGCCAGACTGTCTCAGCTCCCAACGTCGCGGGGAGCGAGCAAGGGTTTGCCTTGAGCCGCCAAGCCGGGGACAAGGGGCCAATGAGCCTCAAGTTGTTGCGGAAGAAGTGCTTCTTCCATCCCTTCCCCAGCTTCCAAGCCCATCATCGTATCGTTTGGATTGAATGAGCTTGGCAGGTCCCGTATTCAGGAGTTGGACCCAACCTCATCGCCCATACCGGCCTTACTGAGACCATACGAGAGCTTGGTGGTATTCCAGACCCATCGCGTTCCGATATCCGAAAAATAAGGACCTTGGTGATGATCCTTCGGATACCCGCCACAGCCGGGACGCCAGCTGGACGGACGAATCTGCAGCACAGGCAAGACAGCCTTCGCGGAGCTGTATCAGAGCGTATGGGATCAGCGCCTCGATGGTAGAGGAAGGAGGAAGAGAGACTCGAGAGTGTGAGAAGGGGTTGCGCGTCCCTTGTGGGGCCCTGGCAAACCTGGCTTATGCGTAGATCCATCTGGTATAGGACCAAGAACTACCGTTGGTTAACTTGGTTCCTCTCCCACTCTGCTCGCGACACGGCACCCAAGAACAGGGAGGGTGGCTGTAGCTTGTTGCTAAAGAAAGCAACCGGGACGTGAATCGGGGCGTCGATTAAGGTGTGGACATGCAAGGAACGTGGTTGGAGCGCACGGGAGCTGCTGCATCTGAAACCGTCGACGTTGCGGCGTTGGGCGACGTTTCATGCCAAGCTCAACCCACGTTGCGAGTTTGGTGGTGCAATTTGTCAAGTTAAAGACGGAGGGCAAGCGAATTGGGGGAAAACTCCAAGAAAAAAAGACCGGCACTGGGCTTCTTCTGGGGGTGCGGAAAACCGGCGCTGGGACGGCGTGGTTCGTCGCTCCAGCCCTGTTCGTTCCATTCCATCCGCTCTGTAGCACTACAATTTTGCCGTCCGCGGATGGAGTGGGCTGTTTTGGGGCGCCACAACCCTTCAAATCGTCCAGTTCCTGTTGCGGCTCTTGTTTTGTTGGCGTTGTATTTCTGGCAGACCGAATCAGGAAGGCCATGGTCCGTAGTTGTATCGGTGTGGTCTCGTATGGTCCAAATCCTAAGAATCCCATCTTCGTTCTCTGGTACGTCGTCGTCGTAATGAACGCCACCGGAAAGCCATCTGACGGTGAGCCGAACGTAGTCTCGCCCACTCAAAGTGTATATACCGGCACAATTAGCTTCGGGCTCAGGCAAGGCGGACGCCTACGCCCTTTCAGTCGGGTCTCGCTTCAATTCGATCTTATTTCGTCCGGTCACCATTGTTGTAAGGTGGTGGGAATGCGTGACCTGTTGGCCCGCAATCCGATCCTGAACTATACGGTGAGAACACCAAGAGGCTCTCTACTTCATTCCCGTGGAAGTTTCATCCGTATGCACTCCGGCTGTTCAGCTGTCTTGGCTTCCGCTGGACCCTGTGCTTCTATTTGCAAGAGTAGTATTGCCATCTCGAGGTCTATGCGTTCCTCGTTGGCGAGGATTGAAAGCACTGACAAAGAATCGCCCCTGCAGCAGCTGATGATCAATAACAATCTGAGCCATCATATTTGCCCCAAGTAATGGCATGAGAACCACGGCTTGAGCAGTCGACAACAGATTTAGAAGTACTCAAGAACAGTAGGTTGGCCATAGTGTGCCCAAGCCGTTAATCTGTCGCCCTGCCGCCCGTCAAATTGATTGATGTTCTTTAAACTTGGAGGCCGTGAAGGGTGACGGACGGGCTTCTAGCATCCAATTCGGGCTAGTCATCGAGACTAGGGGCCCGCCATCATCAACGGGATGCCATCATAGGTTTCGACCGAGCTCTCCCAGGTCAAGTGTTCGTCGTGAAGCAATTAAACTCACCTTCTTTCGCGTGGACCAGGAAGCCTGAATAGGCATACCAGTTTCGTTTGGATTAAACCACAATGATAATTCCCGAGCCTCATGGATAGTGTTCAATATGCGTCATGCTAGGCAAGTGACACCTGGGCCTATGGGAGCCGTATAATAGAGGCATCGCGTCACTGATTGATGGTAGAGTTTTTCCGAAACTGCCTCCCTTTGAGCTTCGAATAGAACGCCTTGCAAGGTCCAAGCTGGGATTAATGGAAAATAAAGGCTGGGTTATTAGTGACGTCAGTTCCGGCCGCGGGTGCCAGTGACAGCGGGGGTATATCTGCGATGGTGCGATGACATCGTCTGTCAGCTGAAATTGTTAGAAAGCCTCGGGAGGGCGGACGGGCGAGAGTTGTGAGGAAGTTCAGGTTGGAGGGGAAGAAGGCGGGAAGGTTGTCGAGTCGAAGAAGGGAAGAGGGCATAGGCCAGGTCCCGGCGCTGGTCTTCGTGAGTCTGTTGAAGGTCTGATTGTCTGTCCTCGCCGGCCATGACTCGTCCGAGTCGCAAAGTGAGTTGGGACTTTCCAGATAGGGCGAGATCGAAACAGAGGATTGCGTGTCTATCATGGAAACACTATCCTGACGCGCGATGGATTGACCAAGATCACGACGCTCGCCCTAGATCTGAACGGCGTGTGTTTCGGTGTTTGGACGGTTCGTCGATTTTTCACCACAAGGTTATGGGGGAAACGCGAGGAGCGAAGACGGAAGTGTCAAGCGCCAATAGCCAGGGAGATCCAGACGGGAAACAACGTAGAAACTTCTTAGGCATCGGCCAGGCGCGTCCTCGTGAAGTAAATAGGCTCGACAGGTACGAAAGGCTCGTTCTAGCCAGGTCAATCGAAGGTTTGGTGAACCTTAGTTGGTAGCTGTAACCTGCAGGACTTATGTCCGTCAATGAAAGGCCCGGCATAGGTAAGTACCTTACATGGAGAGAGGAACTTGTGGGCCAGGAATCTGAACAAGTTCCCGTTGAGGCCAGCCAGCTGGGGCCAGCCGGGAGCAGCTCCAGCCTCATGATTCGACCTAAGTCACGTGCGACAGCCCGATCGCATGGAATTGAGGCTGAACATCGCCTCAGCCACACCCGTCTTGTAAGCGGAAATTGCTTAGCGTGCACCTGCCCTACCCGCACACAAGCGACATTTTCAGCAAAACGACTGAATTTCACTTCCCCCCGCCGGCCCCGACAATTTCATCGTCACGACACTCCGGCAAGCGAAATCGACAAACAGCCGCCAAGATGGGTAAGTCTTTATTGGAATGAATTGTTATGCTATTTGGGTGTTGTTGCCAGCAGCCGGATTTGATTTCAGAAGAGAAGGATTGCCGACCTCGCCGACCGTTGCGTTGCCGCCGATTTGCGATCGACAAAGACGATTGGGAACGGGGGGAATGACGCACGAATATCGACACGAAAATCAAACGACAGCCGACACCACGATAGCGTTCGACGGAGAGGATGTAGGCTCGAAAGGGATCGACCCGGCTGCGGCAATGGCACATGAATTTCGCGAGATGGACGTGTGGTCCTGACGATGGATGTTGGAGGCTGACCCTGGGTGCAGTGAACATTCCCAAGACGCGTATGACCTACTGCAAGGGCAAGGAGTGCCGCAAGCACACCCAGCACAAGGTCACCCAGTACAAGGCCGGCAAGGTATGTCTAACGACACGCGCGCGACGACCGACTCCTAGCGACGCACTCACGACACACGATCCGGACGGTTCACTAAATGATTGTTTGATGTAGGCCTCGCTGTTCGCGCAGGGAAAGAGACGTTACGACCGAAAGCAGTCCGGTTATGGTGGTCAGACCAAGCCTGTCTTCCACAAGAAGGCTAAGACCACCAAGAAGGTTGTCCTGCGGTTGGAGTGCATCAAGTGCAAGACCAAGCTCCAGCTCGCCCTGAAGCGCTGCAAGCACTTCGAGTTGGGGTATGATATCATCCCCTATCTAATGGACGCGGCCTCGAATCATATACTGACAACCCTCGTAGTGGTGACAAGAAGACCAAGGGTGCTGCCCTCGTTTTCTAAACGCATTGTGTTTTCGGTCGACCGACTTTTATGGCTCCTTTCACGGCACACGGATCATCATCAGGCTGGAACAATGGCGGCGAAGAGGGTTACCAGTTCTCATTTGAGGAACTCTACATAGGGAACAAATAAAAGCCCTTGCTTGCGAACGGATACCAAAAGCAATTCATCCAGCTTCCCTCCCCTCCTCATCCTTCACCTGCTTTCGCGCGCTTAGAGAGACCACACAACCGAAAAGAAAAAAAAGTGACAAGAGAAAATGCGGGATGCGTGGGAACTCGACAAACGGTTTGTCCTGAGGGTGGTGATCACACTCGAGGTGGGATGAACTTGTCCCTGTTGAGACATGCCCAGGCTCCCGAATCTGTGGTCGCTAGAAGATAGATGCCTTCTATGAGGCTCAACCGGTCAATCACATAACTGAGTCACGAAATAACGTTATCATGTTCAACTCCCATCCCATCTATTTGTCCAATGTGAATTAGATCCGCCGCGTCAGCTCTGCCATTCCGTCTATCCCTCATCTAGAGCTTGAGTTCGATTCTGCAACACGCCCAGGCGCCGAGGCGCCCAGCCAGGTTTCCGTCTCAGAAGCCCTCCCCTAGCTTGATCGTCCTCCCGCCTCCGTACCACAGCTGCCCATTACGAGCATCCAAACCCCTTTCCTGCCCAACAACCCACTCTCCAATCCATTCGGCACCCGGACGGTCCCAGACCTCCTTCTCAAGCCACGCGTTGATCTCGTCAATGGCCTCAACCCACTTCTGCCTCGCCTCGGGCGTATCGTGGTCCTTCTCCGTAAGGTACCGACCAAGCGTGATGTGCGCGCTCGGCACCTGGTACCTCGACTCAATCTGCACGCCCGTCGACTGCGCGAGGGTGAAGATGTCGCGGCGAAGGTGGTGGTATGAGTAATCGTCCCCCTGCACGATGGCCTGTTGCTGGGCGGTCGGCGCCGGGCGAGGGCTCAAGGGCGGCTCGCCAGAGGCCGGGAGGAAGGAGACGGCGAAGGCGGAGAGGTCGTAGGAGATCATGGGTCTTACGAGACGGGACCTGTGAGAGTAGGTGTAGTCCGTGATGTAGGGGATCGCCGAGCGCATGTTATCCGTGAGAGTGATGATTTCTTCGGGCGTCTTGGAGTGCGTCACCTCGAGAGTTGTAAGGTGCATTCGGTGTTGGGGCATGAGCCAGATACCTTTTGAAGGTTCCCGTGTTAGTCAAGGGGGTCTCTGATGACTCTTCATAGTTGCACTGTTTAGGGGTCTCACTCGGTGCCGCTTTCTTAAGCAAAGACTGCAGATAAGCCGAGAGTTGCACAATGTGATCTGGCGGCCGGGCCCAAAAGACCAAGCAGTTACGAGGGTCCTGGAAACCCGGTTCCATCTCCGGGTTTTCCAATCTCAGAAGAAAAGGGTCAATGATGAGCTCCTTGAAGTCGGGAGCAATGAACTTTTGCCTCTGCTGCTCATTTCTCTTCGTTCTGTGGGCTTGGTAGAGAGCCTGGATCTCCGCCTACGTAATTGTCACTCATCAGATTTGGAGGCTTCTTTTGACAGGCTTGCATTGGATGTTGGACTTTACTGGGTTATCATTGCAAGCTTTAATGAAGGCTTCATATGGATTTTGACCGGGCAGGATCGTGATGCCAGACAAATCTTCCAATTTGTTCTTGGCATCGGTTGAGATGAGTTCAGAGCCCATGGCGAAAGTCTGAGAAGAAAATGTCTTTTTGGAGTGTAGTGTCACTTGAATATTTCCTCAGATCTCGAGCAGATACTAGACAAAGACACGAGAATATAGGTACTCTGAGGAACGAGGCTTCGACGAGAACCGGAGCGAGAACGGAAAGTGGACGTGAGCGGAATAGGTCAAGCGCCAAGGCTGGACTTCGTATTGAGTCCCGGTGAGTCAAATAAGGACTAAAGCTGTTGACGAACCTGGATAGCTTCAGAGTGAGGTCGCCGTCACCGCCAATCAATACGCCCTTCAGCTGCACCTCGGCCGCGAACCAATCACGGACAGGGAGACGGATGGGTGCCGTCGGTCACCGGCGGAGACTGCTTTTAATGACTAAGCTATACACGCTCTGCGCGGGGTCACATGACATGGAATCCTCCCGTGGTGCCATGGCCAATCGGGTATACTGTTGCCCCTGGGGCTCATCTTGTTTTGACTTCAGGCCTCTGAATTGCAGACGAGTTTACCATGAAGCATGTTATTACCTTCACACAATCAAGTCGTGATTGCACGTTTGCCTAAATCATAATAAATCATGCCGGGGCAAGTGCTCAATCACTGCTGCAGAACATTGCAGGCCGCAGCTCTAGTGTCCCGGACGCTTTTGCTTTTGCACACGCGCAGTAGTCTAGGAGAATGGTATCGGACCTTCGAAATTCGAAGACTTGGATGACCGAACTCCAAGTGTGTATGTATACACTTTTCTCTGTTCTACTTTTACCTTCCAATTTAGCGACTAGAATTTACGAAATATGGACTTCTGTTCGTTTCTTAGGCATGCCCGGATTACGGGCATGCGAGTCGACTTTGGTGCAGAACGAAGACATCATAACTCCCACGCCTCTTTCCCCCCATTTTCTCATCTGTCTCCTTCATTAGATGTATGTCTTGCTGCATGGCTGTTCCCACGAGACATCACTCGTTTCCTTGCTGGATATACGTGTTATCGTTTCCAGCTAGATAATTCTACAAAGCACTATCGCCGTGTCTAATGTTGTTTCTTGTCTTCCCAGCTATTGTGGAAGAAGTCAGTCCCTTCCGTGACTCTTTCCGCATGGCCATTAGTATGGCCACTATGATAAGCAGTCTCAAAGCTGGATATAGCATGAGCCGACATAGGTCAGTTTACTTACGTTTGCAAGTGGCATACAATATGGCTCTATACTCGTAGCTTTCTCTTGCCATCGGCCTGCTGGTCGAAGTGATCCTTTTCGTTTACTCACGCATCGTTACCAACATCTGATGGAATGTACAAATCAAACATCAACGTCGAACCACCCATTTCTACCTTGTTCCTGTCATCTGGTGAGCTCCAAGTCTTGGATTGATGTAGTCCTCTCAAGGAGAAGGTCGGGCGTATCATGCAAATATAAGACCTGCCGTTTCGGAAGAGCCTTTCCAAGATGATAATCTCTTGCCCCCTGATGAGACACTTCAGCGAGTGTCTCAGTCTCCCAACCACCCTATGCTAGCTCCTCTTGAGAGAATCCGTCCTCATTAGCTTCAATAGTGCTCAGATGATGATCAATACTTTGCTCTGAGGATATTGAGTGGTCCCATCCTTAGATGCGCTGACTACCGGAACCAACAAATTCCTGCAGACATGTATTGAAAACAATATCATCAGTCTTAGTTCTGGTCACCGCACTTTCAACAATGAGATTATTCATTCTGTGTAGAGAGTAGCCTCTTAACTTCTTCTTCTTTTTCTGCCCTTCAACGTTGTCAGGTTGTCAAGCAGAAAGTCTCTGCGAGTAGTTCTCGCCTTGAGAGTACATCACACATCTATGACAGGCCAAAGGTTGTAGAGAAAGACCTGGCTGAAAGGCACCGACTTATTTTCCTTTCAGGGGCACTCGCCTAGACTGCAAAGACTCAAGAGTGTCTTTGCTGAGCAAGGATATCTTGCCAAGGTTAAGCACAGTCTATCTGAACTTGACGTCAATTTTGAATCATTCTCAGTGCCCTGTCTCTCGCCACATCCATTCTGGTGATACTCAGCAAAAGATACATAGATAATCAATTGCCCACACCTCTTGAGCAGAAGACTCTTCTTCTTTGAGACAGAGCTCATAGTCCTTTACTCAAAGTACGCCCTGTCTCTAGAATGTAACGGACAGATGACCAAGGGGCTCCTCTTGAAAGGCCATGGCTTCGTTAGGAAACCATCAAGTGATAGCTCTCGCCATAAAGAGCCATCAAGACGGGGAGCACCCGCCTTGTCACGCAAGTTCCTCTCATCACGAGAAGAGGCCAACTCTCAATGCCCTTTTGCGGGGCCTCTCACACAATGTTCCCGTCTCCCTCCTCAGGGGCACCCGCCTTGTAAGACGTCCTCAGGAGATAGCTCTCGCCCCGAATAGCTTCAAACGTCGAGGGCACCCGCCTTCTTGAGTCTAACCCTCTTCTCCGCTCTGAAGGCGGGAGCACATGACTTTTCGTGGGACCTCCCACAAAGATTCTTCCATCCACCTTGAGCCTGGAAAACCCCCCAAAACTTTTCCACTTTCCACTTACCTCTCTTCTTCCCTCTTCTCAACACTCTCATCACTCTTACTGAGCTTCATCGCTTTGCCAGCTTCTGCCACACACCAAACCAGACCAAGTTCTTCTTCCTTTTGTTTCATCATCAACATCATCAGAAGCCCTCAGAGATCATCAAACTCTGCTGATTTTGGGGGTGTTTTGGCTGTATCTCGTCGTTGGTACATACCTCACTTGACCGCTCTACCCAGACTTCCCCTTTTTTTCTTTGACCACCTCGAAAAAACCTCCTGTGGCAGACGTCTCTGTTGTCAGCTCATTGCTCTTTCGCAAGTATGGATTTCCCCTTTGGCCAAGATGAGCAGGGAAATCCTCTCCCGGATCCCGATCCCGCGAATATTCTTGGCCCCAATCCCGACGAAGGATGGCCTAAGGATGAACATCCACAACAAGGGAGCCGTCAGGTTGTCGGTGGTTTTCTCGAAGATCTCCCTGACCTCGATGATCTTGACGCTCACCTTAGGGACCCTGGCTCATTTGCTTTGAGTATCGACTTCCACGCGAGTTTCGAGGGGATTTTGCCTCCCCTCGCTTCTCCAAACGGTTCGGCCAACCAGGGCTTGGGCCCGACAGTCCTCCCAGAACCTGAACAGGCCAAGAATAACAGCAATGACCTCGCCTATGGGCCCGGCAATGGCCACGCCGCCATGGAGCAATTTTACACTGATGACGAGGGCCGCTTATGGTTTCTTAACAGCCAAGACTACGACAGTAATGGCCAACTCATCGCGACTTACAGGTACATCGACGATAATGGGGATCAGTGGACGCGCCAACAGATTGTACCCCTGATACCATCTGAGCAGACCTTCGGCCAGGATAACGATCGCCATGACGACCCTATGGTTCAACAAAACCAGGACTTGATGCACAGTCAAGGCTTCAATCAAGGCTCTCCATCCTATGTTCCAGTCGGACCTCCAGTCGAAGATTACTATGGTGGCCAACATGGTGGCTCCACCTCGCAGGGACTATATGATAGCCTTGCCCCCAAGGCTTCTCGCTTGACTGCTGAGTCTCCGTCGGGTTCTGCATATCGGTCGGTGTATTCGCCTCGCGTGGGTTCTCATACTCACGTGATTTCGGGTCGCGCAGCTTGTACACCTGGACTCAATTTTACAACCCATTCACCTTCTGGATCTCAGTCCACTTCAGCGAATTCAGAACCCGGAGCAAATTCCACACCTCAGCCCACCATGGATCAAGCAGTGCCTGTTCTGGTCATGGATGAGCGATCTGTGAACCGCCCGCGCGACGCCTTTCCAATCATCTTCGACAAGGCATTGAAGCTCGGTCTGAGAAAGCTCCTCGATGCCGGCGGCGTGTCGTTCAGGATTGCGACCATGTGCTCCGGCACGGATGGTCCCATCCTGGCTCTACGCGAGTTCGTTGAAGCGGCCACCGCCTGCGGCTATCCGGGACTCCTTCAGTGCAATCATGTCTTCAGCGTTGAGATCGAACCGTTCAAACAAGCCTTCATTCGTCGCAATGCAGCTCCTTCAGGCCCGATCTTTCGCAATGTCGTCGACGTTGGCATGCCCGGAGCTACTCAGGCGTAAGTTCTTCAGCCCTCACCAGCGTTCTCTCATGTACTGACAGTAATGTAGTATGACGGCTTCCGGAGCCATGGCCGATATCCCTCTGGGAATCGACATTCTCATTGCTGGAAGCTCTTGCGTCGACTTTTCGAGCCTGAACTACGCCAAGAACGACAAGAAGAAGAATTCTGGTCTCAACAAGCTTTTTGAGCGATTCAAGGGCAGGGGCATCTCAGCCATTCAACAGGACGACCCGATGGCCAGTCAAGTTGTCGATGGCCTTCAACAAATCTTCGAGAGCATCAAAGATGAGAAGGGAGAGTCAACCAAAACTTTCCTGTCCATTCTCATGTACACCCACGCACATCGGCCCAAAATCGTCATCTTGGAGAACGTTACAAGAGCTCCGTGGGACCAATTCAGGGACTTCTGGCTGCCAAGCATCGGATACGTGGCGGGGTATGTCCAGGTCGACTCCAAGAACTTTTTGGTCCCTCAAACGAGGCAGAGGAAATATCTGCTCGGGGTGGATGCTCGCTACTATGGAAACAAGGCCGAGGATATCGTCAACACATGGGTCAAACTCATGGACATTACGCAGTGGTTCAAGAATCCGCCTGACCTCCAGAAGTTCTTGCTTCCCCCGTCTGATCCGCGTGTGCTTCAGACTCGATTCCAGTTGGAACGAACGCTGCTCTCGAAGCCGAAGAGGGACGTCGAGGCTGTTCATTGTGCTGCCGATCATAGGTTGGCACGTCGAAAGGAAGAGCTCGGCACGTCGAACCCGTATACTCGGATGGATGACAGAGGCAACGTTCAGCCCCGCGAGGACACCTGGCAGGGCGTCATCTCAGTCTATACTTGGCGAATGCAGGATCTCCTAGACATCGAGTACCTGAGAGCACAGAAGAAGGGGTACGACTTCACCCACAAAATGTTCATTCTTGACGTCGGACAGAACGTGGATCGACAGAGCGGAAGGCTGGGGGTAATTCCGTGTGTTCTTCCCTCAGCTGATCTCTTCATCTCGTACGACGGCCGTCCTCTCCTCGGACTCGAGTGTCTCGCTGTGCAGGGCATTCCCGTTGACCGCATCTCGCTTTCGGTCGAGGGGGAAAACCAGCTCAAGGACCTTGCCGGAAACGCCATGACGACCACCGTGGCCGGTGCAGCTATCCTCTGTGCCCTCATTGCCGAGTTCAGGTTCAAGACGAAGGCAAGCAACAGGCACTTGCAGGGCCTCGCTCAAGCCACCCCGCTGCTGCCTAGCAGCGTCGTTCATCAGACCTCGACTGACGAGGCCGGACCTTCCAATTTGTTGGATTCTTTCCTTACCCTGGACCCCTCCTCTCTTGGACGCAAAACCCACACATCTGCCAGCAGAAAAGGAAAAGAAATCGATCGATCATTTTCTGCCTCGCAAACTACTCCCAACAAGATGGCTTGGCAGGAGATCGTCTCCTCCGGCTGGGACGGCAATAGATCAGTCGAGTTTTTCTGCACTCTCTGCCTCAATGGATGCCGGAAATGTCGCTGCGACGCCTTCCGCAAGCATCAACATACCGGTGTTTATCTGCGATGCAAGGACTGCAATGAGACGCGCTGCCAAAGCTGTGCTGGAAATCCGGACCACAACTTTGATAGGGCTAACCCCATCGACGACGAGGTGTCAATCGGCAGAAGTTTGGCTCAAGAGCTTGCGATTGCTGCTTTGCCAGCTCATCTCTACATCGATTGGGCAGGTACCGATACCGCTCACAGTGTCGATATTCTCCACGAACTCGACAAGCAGATGTTCAGCGATCACCTCGAGGCTTTACATCGCGCAATCCAGACGTGCGCAGGCGGAGTTCATTACTACCAGACGGACCTCAAGTTCAGAGACGACCTGACTGTGACTTACGAATCCGAAAAGTCAATCATCGTCGTTGTCATCACCGGAAAGGACGTTACGTGGAGCATGCATCTGAGACCCGTCTATATCGAATTCGGGCGCCCATCGATTCGGAACGATACCTCAGCCAGCGAAGTGGCAATTCAATTGACTGCTCTAGGTTACGACCTTCGCCAGCCTCTCTTGAAAGCAGTACTCACCGACCATGACGCGGATTTCACTCCTATGGCAGACAGCTAGAAGCTGTTTGTCCAATGCGAAATCAACGTGGATCTGGTTCAAGAACGCGCCAACGATGGGAGGATGAACGGTTTCACCCAGAAGCTTATTGAAGTCAACGGCCTTGCACCCTATTTAGTGAACGAAATCACGAATGTCATCAACGGGGACTACCACTTTACAGATAAGTGCGCAACCCCATTGGGGCTTCTCTTCACCAAGCACGATCCTCTCAGCCCCGTCTACATGATGCTCCAGACGAATTGTAACGGAGCTGCCGGAACCGACCGATGGGTCTTGACGAAGAACCCTAGAAAGCTTGAGCCGGATCAAGTGCGAGATATCATCTGCGTTTTCCCCAAAGGGTTCAAGCACCAAGAAGAACAGCCTCCGGGCTCTATAGTGTCGGCCGTGTTGCCTGGCGTGTACACGTCTCTGCCGTCCGCCCTGGGTATCACCGTCCACGAGCGTGATCCAGCCGTACATGTTGGCCTCAAAGATTTGCAGGAGCAGGCTATCATGAACATCGACTGTCAATCTTCGATCCCGTCCATCATGATCAAAATGGACAAGACCGACATGCACTTTCCAGTCAAGTCGCTCCTCACTCAGTTGACTCCCCCTTCTGGTACAAACAGCATGGCAGCTTCGTCCGATATCTGGTTCACGATTGCCCAGCACGACATCAAGGATGCATTGGCACTGGCGTCTTCTGCCATCAACAAGTTGCCGGCCTCAGTATGTGCTGGACTTCTTACAGTTAGCGACATCGTGCTGGATTCTGGTGATGCGTGCTACAAATGCTCGCCGACCGCTCCAAAGGCTCTTCATCACTGGGATGCGGATGGCAGCGTTGTACGAATCGAGAACGAGGCAGTGGCGACTCAAGCGGAGCAGGCTATGTTGCGACGACCAGCTCCTCTTGAGATCCAGGCCCGACTGGAGCTGAGTGAAGCTGACGAATACAATGTGCTGAGCATGAGAATTCTGCTAAACCCAGCGTCGCTGGCGCACCGGGCGCATGGTTACTTCCCGGTCGACAAGGACATCATGTCGCCCATGGTTCGCTCAACTCGCGGAAGTGGCAATTTCCGTGTGGAAACGAGCTATCACGAGCCCAGCCTGAAGGGATTGCCCCCCTTCAAGGACAGCATGGTCGCCGTTCAGGCAGATTCCTATCCTCCTCAGGGCGTCTTCCGGACGCCCCGGTTTCTGCAGAATGGAATGATGCTTCGACAAGATCAAGTCGAGGCTTGTCAGTGGATGCTGCACCGCGAACAAGACGAACCGTTCACTGAAAGGGAATTCGAGGAGCGTGTTCTTCCATCTGTGAACGTGCGCTTAAGTGCTGTTGCCGAGCTTGAGAATTATGCCCGAGGAGGTGTCCTTGCACACGACATCGGCTACGGCAAGACTATAGTTACACTTGGTCTTGTTGATCATACAACGACTCGATCGCATGCAGAGTTTTCTATTCTAGAGCGTTCCAAGTGGTTGGGAACCACGGCGTTCATTCACATCAAGGCCACTTTGGTCATCGTGCCACCCCATATTGTGTCGCAATGGGCCAAAGAAGCTAAGAGATTTGTTCGTCAGCTCAGAGTCCTGGTGCTCACCAAAACGACTGATATCTCACGGGAGAGCATGGAAGCAGCAGACATCATCATTGTCAGCAGCACTCTGATGTCTTCCGAGAAAAACATTGACAAGCTCGCTGCGATCGCCCAAATGCCATCGATCCGTCAGAAGAGATCGAACCGAGACTCCCAGGACTGGCATTACGAAGTGGTTGAAACCATCAAGCATGCCGCCTATGACCACAGCAACCCTGACAACCCGAACAATGCTCATGTCGAGGCGAGAATCCAAGGCCGCCGCACCATCAGCAATGATTGGGTCCGGAAAGCCGCAGCCGACATAGTGGGAGCTAGCGATCGGAAGACGCAGCAAACCGCCAAGGCGACACCCAAAAAGAAGAAGGGCAAGGCAGCAAAGCCCAAGACGGCCGTCACCATTGATGTGAAGGAGGCCTTCCAGAACGGCGAGGTACTTGAAATGTACACTTACCGCCGCGTGGTCTTTGATGAGTTCTCGTATGAGAACACATCCGTTGCAACCTTCTTCCAGAACGCTGTCGCGTCCTCGAAATGGATCCTCTCAGGTACACCGCCTACCATCAACCTCGGTCAAATCTGCGAGACTGGAGCGTTGCTCAATGTTCATGTTGCGCGACCGACGCCATCAATGCCGGGATTCTTCCCCAATGCCACGACTGGGCCCAAGGTATCCGAACTGACTGACGCCGAAACATTCCGCAGCTACACAGAGCCCTTGTCCGCTCAGCTCGCGGCCGATCGCCATGATCAGGGACAGCAATTCCTTCTTCACTACTTGCGGAAGAACAAGATGGAGATTCCAGGAGTGGAAATAACCGAGGCCGCCTGCTTCACTCCCATGAACACTCAAGAAGCCTTGGTATACAATCTTGTACAACAGGTTCTTCGTGATGCAAAGTGGGACGTCGATGGCATGCCCTGTGGTCTTGATACTTTCCTTCGCACCATCTTGAACGAAGAAATGACCCAGAGGGCCGGTTCAAAGGTCAAGGCTGCCGGAAAATCTATCTGGTCGGATGCAGTCAACGCGTTAGTTCTCTTGTCTTCGTTGTCCGTTTCTTCCGGCCGAAAGGGATTCGAGGGCATGGGTTGGACAGAACCTAACGCGAAGCTGACTCTGGAGCGTCTCAGCAACCAAGCGTCTGCTGCAGCTGGTGATCACCTTTCCCGTTGCACCCGGATTCTGGTATCTCTCTTCGACAAAATGATGTACCTGGCGAATATGGTCAGCAACGATGCTGATACAGGCAGTGGAAAAGCTAAAAAAGATGCCTACTTTGGTCATATGGAGGAGATTTTCGATTTCATGAGGAACACCAACGGCGACTCTGATGATAGTGCGTTCATCAACTATCTCCATGATGCGATCGTCTACCGAAACTCGATCCGCCCAGATTACATTCCTACTCGAGAGAACTATTGGGACTGCAACTTATGGTCCGAGTGGATGGGTGGCCCTGGAACATACAATTCTGCCCATTGGTGGCTTCTCGACTCGGATCACGACTTGTCCGATGGTGAGTTGGACAGCTTGCAGAACCGGTGGGTCGGCTCTGGTGGTGACCAGAGCGATGACCGAGAGGCTCTCATCGACCTCATTCGCCAAGAGCAGGACAGCCAGGATAAACGCGAGGAAATGGCTTTGGCTATTGGACTGAAGGACACCGGCGACATGACGGCTCAGCTTCAAAAGCATTTCGATGGAAAAGCCACCAAAGACGACTATGAATTCGGCATTCAGATTCCAGCTCACCGACCACAGAAGGGCAAGACGATTAAACCCCGTGGACAGGCCATTGACGAGACTTTGAACAGTTTCATCTTGGTTGTGCAAAGCGTCCAGGCTGGCATCAAGCTCACGACGGAGGCATGGCGGCGCTGCATGTTTCTGATGAAGTTGAACCATGTTCTTCATGGAAGCCATAGCCCGCTGTCCACCACCTGCAACGTCTGTGATCGCGTTACTGCCGATTCTGACATGTTTCATTCTATTGCATGCGGTCACTCGCTTTGCAAGTACTGCTTTGATGCTTTCACTGAGGCTGGTGGTCAAATGTGCCCCATGCAAAGCTGCAAGGCATTCAGTCGTGGATCATTTGTCCCTAGCGAGATATTTGCCACGCCCGCCAACCTGCAGCACGATCTTTCGGCCGTTCCCAGTGCCAAGGTATCCGACATGGAGAACGTCATGTTCAACAATGTCCTTGATGACGAGAAGGTCCTGATCTTTGCTGCGTACGCGGGCATCAAGAAAGAGGTCTACGACCACCTCATTCGCAGCGACAACGGCTTTAGCGTTTACATGACCGACGGAGGCGATGAGGACTCGAATCAGATTGAGGCATTCAAAGCGCACCATGGAAAGGCCGTTCTGATCCAGAGTCTCATGTCTTCGGAGTCCGCTGGCACAAATTTGACCGAGGCGAACCATCTCATGTTTGCTGGAGTTCTGTATACAGACTCGGACAGCTACGACATGTACATGAGACAGGCCAAGGGACGTCTCATTCGATATGGACAGAAGCGTCCCGTCTTCGTCTATCACTTCATCACCCCGGCTACGCTTGAATTTGATATCTTCAACAAGCGTCATGGTAACCGCATCCGCCACTTCGGTGAGGAAGGACGCATTGCTATCCCGGTCACTGAGGACGGAGAGAAGGACCCGAGATTCCCTCTGTATTTCCGTCCATACTTGGAGACCGCATCGATGGAGAAGCTTCTGCGCTCCGTGGAATTCGAGGAGTACGAGAAGTGAATGGCAACCCAGGATGGCGGCGCATCGACTGCAAGAGTCTGATGAAAATGTCTCATTCACGTTGCCAAAGTTTCGGCAAGGGCGATGACTTCCGAGTTCGCTCAGTTCGGGAGGTTTGGGAGAGGGACTTGGAATGAGAGGTTTGGAATGGGGGGTTTGGTACGGGAGGTCTGGAGAGGGAAGTTTGGCAACTTGTTTTCGGAGGGGATTCTTAATGCTGTTTGAGTACATCACGTTTGGACCGGCCGAAGGTGGGAGGCGGATATCGAACGATGGGAACGAATCTGGTTTGTTTGCAGGGCTCGAGTTTGACAAGGTAGCACAGAAAATATCTAAAGATCATTTGATCACCAAAACGACGTTCCACGTAATTCTCAATCGCCTATCGAGGGCGTGATGGAGAGAGCCAAGCAGCAATAGTTGCCCAGCATGACTTGGCGACTGTGTAAAGTTTCATACCCTCGTGACCTTCCGCCTCTACGTGAAATCGTGGCCAATTTGATAGCATTTCTAGCTGGTTGAACCGCCCCTTTGCCCAGTCACAGAGGCGCCGCCTTGCACTCTTTCAACATGCCGAGGCAGACTCGGGCTGGGTTCCCTTCCCTTGCTGAACAGACATCGTACACACAAGCGCCATCATCAAGTGTTCCCCATCGCCATTGACTTGCCGCCCTCCCGCGGCAAAAAGCATATCTCAGCCATCCGCTCCGCTCACAACTTCGCAACAACAGGCATCCTCTCAGGAACCTGCACCACGATACCCGCGTCCTCGCCCGCGCCCGCAAACTCTACCTCCTGACAATCTTCCACGCCCACGCCGCTCGCAAACTGCGTCACGACAAAGTCAATTGCCGTGCCCTGCGGTCCCAGCGCAACCATGGGCGCATGCCACGTTCCCGCACCGTAGGTCACGGCCTGGCCCGGGGACGCCACAAAGGCCTTGAGGCCCTTGATGTCCGGGAGACCCCGGCCTTTGCCGCCGGTGGCCGGCGCCGGGAGGGAATCCGTCTGCGCGCTGGGGGTCGGGAGGGTAGGTGCCACGATGACGAGGTACGCCGCGCCGCTCACGGACGAAGAAGCAGAAAAGGGGACAAACGTCTGTGTCGTGAAAGGGTGTCGTTCCAGCACGCTCACTCTGAAGCGGCCGCCCCTGCTGGGACCGGCGTAGGTATACGGCAGCAGCGTCGAGATGGGCGGTTGCGCCAGGGGGGCGGCGGGCTCGAGCTGCCGTGCGGCGCAGGAGAAGATGCTCACGATGGGGCGGCCGGCGCGGGAGGGAGCTTGCGGGTAGAGGTCCAGAGGGGAGGAGACGTTTTGGTACTTTATGGCTGTGCCTTGGTTTGCGGAGACGGCGCTGAAGGAGGTGGATACGGTGGCGGGGAGGGAGGCGGCGGGGCGGACTTCCGGGTGAGGGTTCTCGATCACGTCGCCGAAGGGGGCGAAGGCGGTGCGAGTGAGGGGTTCCGCGGGGATTTGGAGGGTGAGGGGGGTTGTGAGCGTAGTTGGCGGCATTGTGGTGGTTCTGGGAGTGTGTTTGATGTCACACACGGTGTGAGTTGGGTTCGTTTCTTGGTTTGATTGCTTGCTTTGGTTTGTCTGAAATGGCGGATGAATTAGGGTATAGGATGGCTTGGTAAGTGGCGTATGAAGGAAGGGCGGGACGGATTAAGTTGAGTTGAGTGAGTTGAGGTCGGAGTAAGCTCGATGACTTTCATGAGCTTGGTGTTCGGGGTCGAGGTGAGAGGGGAGCTTGGGGGAAGCTTCCGCTTTAGGCATGGCCCGTATCCTCCACTGGGCCTCGGCGCATGGGGCCTGATGGAGTCTGATAGGGCCGCCGGCGACGACTCCGCGGGGTCATTAACAATTGTCATCGAAGCTTAGCATTCTCCAGCTCCACCCCCGTTGGGCGGCACCCCGGGGAACGCACTGTCTCGGAGTCCCCAACTGCAACGTCTCTCAAAGCTCCGGTGTAATTGTGTATGGATGGCCTATGAGACGCGGTCTTCCGGACTTTGCAGCACTCATGCTTGATCTTTCATAATCGGAGATTTTGGGCTGAATTGCATTAAGGCTGTTATCATGGGCTCTTACTCATTCAATATCCGGGATCTGTGAAGGCACAACAAGTTGAACGCAGATCATCGGCAAGCTTTACCCCAACATATTCCAGGGCTTTATCCTGGCACGATGCTCAACCATGCGGTGTACTCTATCTAGCGCGTTGTCACGAGATGCCGAATCTTTGAGTCATGGCTTAGCTCGGTAAACCTGTCCGGACTGCGACCATGTTCTCAACGCCCGGGGACAGCGAATTAGTTCTCGATGATCAATCTTCTGTCCGGCTTGCCGGGCCTGCTGATTACCAAGAGAGCGCGATCCGGGACTCTATAAACATTGTTTGGATTCATGTTGATTGACTGTAGTAAGGAAAGCTGGAAAGGACTGCTCTGAAGGCTGGCCCTAGATCACGGCAATCCTTCTGAGCGCGATAGAGCTCAAGTAACTGCAAGAGGCTTTTTTGAAGACTCTCCAGAGCCGCCTTTCATGATCCTGCCGAGGTTGAAGACGGCTCGGCTACCTCACGGCACCCTGAGAACTTGAAGGGCCAGTTCTGGACTACTTCCAAGGCTTCTCGGCTGTCTGCCACCAACTCTACGTCGTCTGATGTCTCTTCCAAATCCAGGCATGTGTGGGGATAGAGTTGATGAGTACTAGGTTTTGGGGAAGCCTCGGCTCGAGTTTTTTCCCTCTTTTCTTCGGCCATTCAAGGGGTAAAGGTTCAAGAGTCTGTGTTACGAGGTTTGCCATGTACATGAGCGTCGCGGCAAACATGTCGACTATAGAGGTGCTCCTCGTGGTGAAGTTGCAAATCTCTCTTGCCTCTAATTGTATAGTCTGTCTCGTGCTATGCCGCAGATGGCAAGCCCGAATCCCCTTCCTCGCTGTTTTCGCCAACTTGACGGAGTATCCTCTCAAACACATCAAACTTCAACTCCATGATGCCATCGTGATCAGTCCCGGGAACAACACAACTAGAGAATTCAATCACGTCACGGCGCTGCTCAGCCCTCCAGCAATCCTCAAACCACTTGGGACCCTTATCAACACCAATCATGTGGTCCGCCTCCGCCCAAAATACATCAACCTTGAGCTTTGCAGCGCCCTTGACGACGCCAACATCGAGATTGTGTTCAGCCTCCGCCAACAGGGTGACGAGCTCGTCATAGTCCTTCCATGAGCCCCAGTAATCCGAGTGCCCCGCCCTCTTCAGCAGCAAAATGGCGTCCTGGCTGAGCCCTCTCGTATCTTCAGAATACACCTTTTGAATGAGCTGCGGCCAAATCTTCTCCTCAAACTCTGCCATGGGGTTCACTTCCACCGCAGGAGGAGGCGTAGGATCGGCAGCAGAGCCCATTCGCATCGACGCAGGCAGCAACCCGCTCACAGCCTGCATACTAGGAAAAACCCCACTCACCGCGCCCGCTACCGGCGCAACATGCTTCAGCGAGAACCCGGCGAGCGTGTGGAAGCCGCCCAGCACGGTCTCCGGCAGCCCGCCCGCGAGCGTCATGAGCGCGGCACCCGAGCGGGACTGATGGACCCACGGCGCGGCGAGGGCCACGTAGGGGCGGTCGGGGGAGAGGAGGTGACGCAGGTGGAGGACCGTGTTGAGGGCGTAGATTGTGCCGCCGCTGTGGGCGGCCAGCGAGACGTGGCGGACGGAGAGGTGCGCGAGGAGGGCGGGCACGATTTCGAGCCAGAGGCGGACGCGGTCGGGCGCGTCGACGTGGGTTGTGCCGCCGAAGCCTGGTCTGTCTGGGTGGATTATGCGGACCTTGTGTTTCTTTACCAGGGCGTCTTTGGCGATGTGAAGGTAGCGGCTGTATGTTTGTCAGACCTTGAGCGATGAGGTGTGCCGTGATGTGCGAGGGGTGTTTGTGAGTGAGATGATTGGCTCACCTTCCCAGGAGGGGACCGCATAAGAGCAAGATATGCTCGCGCTCTGGGTTGTCCAGGTTGCGATATCCGTAGTCGCAATACGTGACTTTGAATGGATCCGGGCGGTCATTGCCGGGGGGTAAGGTGAAGGACTGGTGGAATCTTGGATCGTTGAGGTACTCTTCCGGGCCCGGATCCGTACGCGATGGCCCCGATTGAACCGGTTGATGGGCGTTCTGCGACGCCATTTCCAATGGTGCGTGAGCCTGCATCGAATGATCTAGAGTGGTTTGCTCACAAGCTTTTGTATAAAGTTCACTCCACAGGATCAAGGGACGATTTCATTAACAAAGTTGTCGATGAGGTGCTTCGAACGAACTTCGCCGGTTTGTATGGGGTGACCTGGACGGCCTTTTTTGACGTCTCCCGAGTGTGCCACTCGTTAGTTGGCCGAGGCGGGTACCCGGGCTCCTAGTGCTTATCATCAAGGTTGGGTGGCGTGGAGGAAGGATTCCGCCGTAACAGCGCTTTTCTTTTTCTTCGCCAGACTCGATTGGGAAGTTGTCTCACTGTTTTCCCGACGCCAAATGAGAGAGGCATCGTCAGTCCACCAAGTTCAATAAGAGAATTATAATTCAGAGTTTCTAGGTTATTGCTATGGATAGGTAGAAAGTTTTATTCTTCAGCCGGGTCTACAGAACCACGGGATCATCACTCTTTTGAGGGCGGCGAGGTATTATTGACCATCACCAAGTGAGGAAGCGACGGTCATGGTTTCCTCGAAATGATGACGAGGGCTCTGTCGAGGAGATGAAGGATAACGTCACACCATTATTATCAACCTCTCTTCTCACCACGAGAAGTCGTGATGGAGATCGACATTGGGTAACTTTTAGAGAAAGGGCCCCAACAAAGCTCCTAGTAAACGCCACATCTAGAGGCATCTGCGAGGAAGAAGGCAAAACTTCCAAAGGTACCTCAGTATTTAGAAGAGATAATGGCGCCCGGGTATTCACTAGATATATTAATTCCGACCTGACCCTCGGGACTATCCCACAAACTCACGTCAGAGTCAGGTCTACAACGACATCATGACCCTTTGATACACCCTTGAGAAAGATTCAGAGGCTCGCAAGGTTGCGTGCCTTGAACTTATATAAAGCCACACCTCAAGTGATCTCCTACTGAACGAGGTTTGTTCAGCATACCATCTCCCGGCGCGAGCACAAGTTTGCATCGCTCCGTCAACCAGGGAGAACTCTCAAAATTCTTCCTCTACAAGTAGTCATCAAATCATCATCATACCAACTGAAAATACTTGCCTTTACACATCCCAACCCAGGCAACATGCGTACTTCCCTCTTCCTCGCCGGCATCTATGCCACACTCTCCGTCATCGCCACCCCAATCACCCCTCCCCCAACCGACCTCAACGCCGCCAAACCAGAGCCCCTCGCCCAAGACCTCGAGGGCCTCGACGTCGACAGCGATGCGTCCTCTATGGCAGATCCGAAGCCAGCGACCGGGTGGCCAGGCTACCCAAGACCGATAAACAAGGACAACCCAGCCCCCAACAAGGACCCCCGACCGTACACCAAGAACCAGTACAAGCAGTCTCAGGAATATAAACCCAAGTTCGATTTCCCGCAGCCCCGACCCAAGCCGGACAACCCGTTCAAGAACCCCAAATGGAGGATCCCGCCCAACAACCCCAACACCTTCAAGGACAGAAACCCGTTCCGGTCGTGGCCGCACAGGGATCCGTTCAAGATGCCCAAGAAGAACCCGTTCAAGCTGCCGGAGAAGAAGCCCGAGCCCAAGCCCGAGCCGGAGGTGAATATCGAGCCGATGCCGAAGCAGCCAGAGCAAAAGGACGCAAAGCCCGAGCGGTACCCGACTCTCGAAGAGACGATACAGAAGAATGCAGAGCCGGCGCGGTACCCGACTCACGAAGAGTGGACCGAGCAGAGCAGGGAAATGGCTATCGCGAAACAGTATGATCCGTGGCACGGAAACGATAAGAGCCCGGATGCGGCACCGGAGAATGAACCGACTTATGAGCCGCATGAGCAGGATGCCCGAAGGGTTGGGAATTAGACGTCGATTTGTGATCACCAAGAACACGGACGTCTTTGCTGCTGCATCTTTTTGTCTCTCACGTCTGAGAGTTTGAGGATGTTCGGGAGAAGGGGCGGGAAGATGTAGAGGCGCGGTGAGGTTAATGACGATAAGCTCTGGATGTTTGAACCTGTATGTTTACCAAGCCATAGCGCGTTGTTGGAACAAGGACGTCAGGTGCTCATCTCTCAGTGCGAATTATTTGAGCTTTTAAACGATAAATGTAGGCAAGCAAGCATGTTGCTGGAAGCCGTTCAGTAGTGCTTTAGTTCTTCTGATCTACAACCTATAACATCTTTTAGTAAAAGTAAATTCCGGCCAGTCTAGCTACTCAGACATAGCATATGGGAGGTGATGCCACGGTTTGTCAGTACTGCGAAACATCCAAAGCCAACTCCCTATAGCACAAACCAGAAATCCATTGTCAGGATTGTCTACATCACATTTCGCAACTTTACCTCACGGACAATATTTCTCTGCACGATCCTGAGCAGCTCCTGGCCTAGCCATACTGTCAAACATGGAAAAGGTTGCTCCACAGATTTGTAGCCCCCGTACTCGACAATACGAACATGCCACCTTGACGGATTTCTGTCACTGCAAAGTCGAGAATCCTGGCGTCACCAAAGGAAATAATGTATTCTAAGCGCTGTTCTCACCAGGAGTCGGCAACTCCCAGAGCGAAAACGTAGCATCATAGCTATAGCGGGACGGACCTCGATTATTGAAGAGCGAGAAACATGGATACCAAGTGATTACTGAGAAGAACATCCGGATGTGTTGATGGCCGGTGAGAACAAACGCCCGCTAGCTATACCATGAACATCAGCAGGATCTTCCGGGCCACTTTCCAAGCAGCAACCCTCTTGACGGTCTTATATAAGTTGTACATACTACTTCGGTTGCCTGCCACTTGGCCACAAGCTTGAAAAGAGATTACCAATCGCAAAGCTCCAAGGGGTGGGGCTACTATGCCAAGTTGTGTGATACTCTTCTTACCCTTTCACATACAAATCACCAGCGCAACACCTAAGACAAAGCCCAGCCACTTTGTCCTAGACCAATCTTGCCCATCAGCTCCATATACCCCGGCGTATAAGCGCCAGCCCGAGACGGACATTCGCAGCCGAGAGACAAGACCTCTGGTCAGTAATGTTTCCAAGTATGCTACCCGATGAGTATGAAGTCGATACACAGATCACCGACAACAACTCTGGCGAAGCGCTGATAATGATAATGATGTGGACGAGCCTCAAGTCGTTGCCAAGAATCGACGGTGCTCCGTCCGCTTTTGCTAGAAACAAGGGGATGAGGACTACTTGAATATCTGCCCCGGGCATCGAAACAGCCTGGCATGTGTTGAAATGTTGCATTGGACGTTGGTCAACATCAAGTTGGCTGGCTTCTAGAGGTCTTGCTTTGGCCGCGACTCGGCTCCCTCTTGTACCTACCTGCGTGCCTCGAGAAACTCAACTAGTACAGCCACAGAGTAATAAGAAAGGGGCTGATAAAACCAGAGGGATCAATTTCAGCTTCCTCGGTGGACTAAAGGCAATGTGCCACATCAACCAGGAGCGTCTGTTTGGAACAGCGCATAGAAGGAAGGGGACTCATCGTCGACGGCTGCGCGCCTGTCTCGTTGTCGTACTGTCAACTGATTGAGCCCTGACTTCTGGGCACGCTCATTCGCGAGCTGGAATCTACGGACAGATGTCTTACACACTGCACTTCGAACTCGAGGACCGGAGGAATACACTGTTCAGCTAAGCGATTTCCATCATATCAAAAGCGGGAAAAGACATCCAAAGACATTCGAAGCATACTGAATAGAAACTTCGAAAAGAATCACGCACGAACCAATGTAGCAAAAGTTTTCACATTGACGTGTGCACTTCGAATCCACCTCAGTATGCGGCTATTCGCTATAGAGGGAACCATATACGTGGAAGCATGTCTCTCCATGTCACAGAACAAGTAGTAGAAAGTGACGAACCCAGATGCCATCGCCTTTGTTTTGCCCACATTCCATGACGAGCGAGTTCACTGCAAAATCCTACAAGCTATTTGCCAGAAAACAAAAGATCAGAACGCAAGGTTTCGGAAACAAATCAAAGGAACCGCCTCGACCTCGTCCTCGAACACCTCATCGCCAGTCCCCAACAACGACTGGCTCAACTGCGATGAACGTCACCCAAAGTTGAGCAAGCTACCGGAAGCTAACCAGTATGATTCAATCACTCCAGAAACCTTTTCTCTCGGAACTTTCATTACAGATCACCAAAAGAAAATAAAAGTCTAACCAATGCATGAAGCATCCAACTTGGACGTGGGCAGTAAGGAAGCGGAACTATAGCAGAGTCCGCGAACGCAACCAACAACCCTAAACTCTTGACCCCGCTCTCTGGCAGAGAGCCAGCCATCACATCGTCAATTTAAACTCCTTCCACCATAGGGCGATGGAAACAACCTACAGCAGGTCGGAAAATAAAAATTGCTTACATCAACGCAAATCAGCAAAAGTCAAAGATCAAGCGCATCCTCAAACACCACCTGATCGGCAATCGGATGAAGCATGTCGATAGGAGGTACGTCTGGATGCCCCGCAATGATGAGCATTCGGCCGGGCTCGCGACCAATGGAAAGGGCCTGAACAGCCGACCTTCTTGTAGCGGATCTCAGCCACCAAAATCATCCAATGACCCGGCGTTGTGGCAGAGTGGTCTAATGCGCAAGACTAGAAATCTTGTTCCTTCGGGAGCGTCTGTTCGAATCAGGCCAACGTCGATGTTATCTTTTGCCAAACCCCCAAGGGCTCTTGACCATTCTTTTTGTATCCCGCGAGACCGATAGGAACGACTCGGGCCCGATTGGATCTGCGCGTAAGATGTAGAGTATGGGCGGTCTGCAACGCAGAGACTATGAAGAGGATCAGCCTGTCACGGTCGCAAGTTCGAAGATCTGAAATGTGTCCCGCACGTTTTGGAAACAGACAGGGGTATGCTAGCTCACCGCTGAACAGAAACGTGTAACTCTGGACTGAACGGAGAGGCGAGACGGCATCAGGTTGTGTCCATGTTCCGACGTCTCGAGTTGAGGGGTCAGCGCTCAGAGCGAGGAGTAGTTAGACCTTGAGCCACCTGACTCGATTTCATCTCGACATCTCGTTTGGGCGCGTTGCTGAGTACGCCAAGCCACGGATTCAATGCGTGAGTTTCTCTTTACGGACGTCTTGCTGTTGGTCTGCTTTTCGTTCGGGAAGGTCTGGCTAAGTTCTAAGAGATTCTCGGGTGATGGGAAATAGGGGGAAGAAACGATATCTGAGCGATAGGCCACTGATTGGAGATCCTCATCAGCGAGCTACCCAAGGTACGGACGGGCTGGTAATGATTGATAGTGGACAGGCTGCGCCGCTGACCGCATTAGTTGGTGTGGCCACCTGAAAGCCGCATTCCCGACGATATATTCCCGCGCTGCACTCGATAGGGGGTTTCTGCGGAAACCAGCTAAAGTGTCACGCGAGCTCTCCATGATTTCTAGAAAGACGTGATGATTAAAGGGTCTCGGATCGTGTCGCGTCGCGCCTTGGATTTGGTAATCGACGGTGCTGTATTTAGCACCGCCATTCGGCGCTATATTCATCCTCTGGTACGAGGTTGCCTGCACTAGAGAATGCGGCCTGCTTCCAAGACCAGCGGTTTTGATCTCGCGTGATAGCAATTGGGGCGAATATGAATTATTGGACGCAATAACTCCCGCTTGACCAGATCTGAGACGATCCAAATGACGAGCAGTTCAAGAGCGGGCCTTTGACAAGTGGCCAAGTGCGATTTCAAGGCCAGTGTCATCTCCCGCACGGCGTCTAAGAAGGCTCCACGAGGGGTAGACCTCATAGCCGTCGAGTTCGATAATGGCAGGTCTCATTTGCCGCCGAAGATCTGTCAGATGACGGTGAGGGGCCCCAAAGGTACTGAGACGAACCTCCACTGTGACCAGCGACGTTCTCGATTGCCCAGCTCCGTGCGTCTTGATTTGATGCCGTCGATGCTCGACAATCTGGAATTTGGCCAGAGGAAATAGCACTGAGGTCGATGATCAGCCAGTGAGCAGACAGGGAGCCTCTCTTGGGACGAGGTGGAGCCAGGTCAGGGGTGGGTAGACTGGGTGGGTGGTCAGAGCAGAAAGTCCAGACCAGTGAGTTCGTTGGATGGTGAACCAGAGATTTCGGTCTCGTTCAGTGCCTGCCCTAACCGTGAAAGAGCTCCATGCGGGCAACTGGAGCTATGCAGCCGGAGCACAATAGCTTTGTGGCGCTGAACCATTGTATCGCCAAGGACCGAGAGGAAAAGTCACCTTCTGTAGTACGGCCCGGCCGTCAGGCGTAGGGGGCAGCAGGGCGCCAGGAAGTGAGCACAGCGCGTTAGAGAATCCGAAGCGTTAGTGCAAACTTGTGCAACTGCCAACGCGGCTTGGAGCTGCAGCTAAAGTGCGGTGTGATGGGCGATTCCCTGAAGAAAACAGTAGCATAGCAGTAGCATGACAAGGCGAGCCGCGAGTGCATGGAAAAGCCGGTGACCTGCTGCAGACTCTCCCCCGAGACCCCGTCTGACGACCAATATTGGCTCCGTTCAACCCCGGGTCCAAATGCTCTGCATTTTCTGGAGCCTGGACCGAGAAGCGGCGGAGAAGAGTGAGAAGAGTGCCCACTTCTTCCACAGGATGCCGCTTGGCGGTTGGTTCAACGGGCGCGTGGGTGCATTGGTATTGGAGTCGCTGTCGCAGTACTCGGGGGGCATTGCTCAATGCCGATAGCTCTCCATACAATGCGGCCACATTCCATGCTACGCAATGCCCAGTTGTGGGCGCCGTACCTCTTCGGGCAGCCGGTGCTGGAAGTTTGCAAGTCAAAGACCGCAGCCTGATTGAACCGGGCCTCTTATTAGCAGAGATGACGTGAACCAAAGTTTTCACGTTTGGGGGCTCCAATGACACGCGTCTGAACGTGGATGGTTCAGCGATGACTTTTCTGTCTCCACGACGACTGAGACGGTTAAGAGAGGCTGATATAGTCCAAGGCCGAGCAACAGCAACATCGCTAAGGTTGATCGTTGATGACAATGTTTGGGCTTTGATGGCTCGCCTTCGCCGGTGCAAAAGGCCCGTGGTTTGATATGTGACAGCTTGGCGGTTGAGTAGAGGCGGGTGATGACAGCCCGACTGACAGTCGTGACAGCGAACCGCCGTTTTGGCAACAGAGCGTAACGGACGTGATGGATGAACGAGCGCAAGGCAAATGACGGCGATGGAGGACGAGCTTGAGATCAGGCCCCTGAGCCTCCGGAGTAGCGTTGACGATCGAGAGTTCCTAGCGTGAGCTTGTCGATGGCACCAAGTCCCAAGCACGAGGCGGAGGCAGGTGGATGGAAGCCGCCAAAAGCGCAGACAATAACCGACAGAGTTGCGGGCCGATATGGTTCGTACTTTACGCCTACTTACGGTCAGGTCGCATCTTGCAGTTGCAGTGAAGACCTGGAGTCGCGGCCAGTGCCAGTCAGCAGTGCCAATTGCAGTCTTTTTTTTGCAGGTCATTAAGCGGTGTGGAGTCCAGAATGGAAACCTCCCACGTCGGGAAAGATCCACCTCCTCTCCTGCTCCTGCCCTGCTTTAGCTTGATAGGAACGCTGGAAGGAAAGTGGCCCAGTGATATGATTGCCCGCGGTGACTAAGACGAATGGACCGGACCTTAATAACGGCGGAGTGGGATTGCCCGGCCATTATTACCTGTTGCTGGCTCTTAATGCCCGTTTAGCCAGGGGAAGCAAAGCCACTAGCAACGATAGGCTTCTGGAGGACAGTGGAGGCCACGAGGCCCCACTGACTTGTTCTGCAAGGTACCCGGCCCTCCAATTCACTGGCTGCAGGTACGAACCTGGAAAGAGGAAGTGCACACCACTGGTGACTGCCCTGGAAAGTGCAAAGCTGGAGCGGGAAGGAACTGTCCCGGGTGTGTACCTTCCTCACCTTATCCCGCGTGAGGCGACAGAGAGAGAAAGAGCGAGAGAAATCCAAGAAGGTAGGTACTGTTGCATTCAGTATTCTCCAATGTGACTGGTCAGTCGATAAATAAGGCACGTTACGTTAGGCTCTCCAACAGTTGGAAGGAACCACAGCAATCAAGAGAAAAGGAGGGTTCGATTGCAAGGCCAGAACGCAGCAAACTCTTTTGGGTAATGCCGTTCGTGTTGAGTAAAATTTGGCAGAGATGAACAGAACCATATTAGGACGAGGTCGTATTCGTCGCCCATTCGAGCCGGGCGGGAAGTTGGTAGAATCCGCAAATGCTTCTTTCTCCTTTCTTTTTCCGTCACTGCCAATGCTACGGATACATACATTTGCGCAACGGTTCGACAGTCATCGACTCATCGGTCATCGGTCCCGTGTCTCCCACATCGCTCCCACCTTATCCCGAACAGCATCATTCATATTTAGAATCATACCTCGCCGGATTCCGAAAAAGCATATTCATGCTGAGTTGCATCAGTCTCTAAATATGGACTGGATATAGATGGATGAGTGGGCTCATTGCGCAACTAGTGTGCCTACGGTCCACGGGTACACAGTAGCTCCCAGTATGGATGCCATGTTTCCCGTAGCATCCCGCACCTTAGATAATTAGGGGACTCCGAGGCAGGTATCACCATGATTGCGGCCTCACCTGAGGTGTGCGTCCATACTGAACTTAGCACTATGTATATGCACTCACACAAAAATAAGCGTATGAGCAATTCTCCGGCCCTCAGCTTGAGTGAAGTGACGAGGGATGAGGCATGCTCGCATGCGGCAGAACAGCGCCTTTTGTCCCATCCGCCGCTGCCAGCCTGCCCTTCATTGTTGCTTGTAGATTGCTGGGAAGAGGACCTGAAACGAGCCAACACTGGGGAAGGCGGTCATCATCCTCCCCATGTGGCATCGCTGGCCTGCTCATCGCCTGCATCGCGTGCGGCCTGCCTTGGTTCTGCCTTGTTCTTTGTTCCCTCAGAATGCGGTAGCACTGGGGACAGGTCACTCCATGAGTCCGTACCTTACATACGGCGAAGTATTTGTCCCAATCACCATAGTCAGAGTTGATTACTCCTCCCCAATGCGGACAAGGCAATAACTGTAGAATGCAGGTGAGAGGGAATCCAGAAAGGATGATTGCCTCTGCAGGGTAAGAACGCCGTGGTTTGCTGATCCACCCCGCGCCGTTCCAGGTCCCTTTTTTCATCTTTTTCATCTACGACAATTTATCTGGTCTGCGTCTAACTTCTAAGGACAAGAGGAGCACCACCTCTTGAACCCTTCATCATAGTCAAACCCCGTTGCACGCAGCACGCGGCATGCCATCGGACATTGGACCCTTTGCCCGTCTCTCCTCTCATGCTATCCCGTCTATGACTGTCCCTCTTGTCGCAGGTGAACAAGTCTGCTCCTTGCGCAATCCTACTGTCACGATTGATCCTCGACATGGACCAGTCGCCTAAAGCCTAAACAACGAGCAAGGACTGTAAATCCTCGCAAATCCCTCGATGATGTGTCTGCTGCTGCTGTGCCCCTCCTCGTCTCGTCTCTTCTCCCAGTGTTCTCCTCGTCTCCAAGCACCCATCACATCACATCACATCACATCACCATTGTCTCCGTCTCAGTCTCAGTCATACTCGAGGACCCAAGGTGGTAAGAACTGTAGTCCTTCCGACACTTCTCCATCACATCAAACCTCTCTACTACTTACCCTCCAATCCACGGATAGGTGTCTCTGGGTGTGCCTCTCTCTCCGCCCCTCCCCTCCATCCGGACCCAGCTCTATCCTTTGCGCACAGAGAGATGCACCATGCAAACACCCCAGATCCCTGCTTGATGCTCGTCAACCGCCAGGCCCAACCTGGCATGGGCCGGACAAGGCCGCCAGGGGTTCTCTCGACAGCCACTGTCTGTGCTTCTCTCTGACCACCCACACCACGAACAGGGGTCGCCTCTCTTTACTGGCCCTGAGACGCTCGTGGGCGTCTCCTTTGCTCCCCAAATCCACCAAATGTCCCGACACCCTCTTCCCAACTTCGAGACGTGAGACGCAACAGCTCTTCCCCAAGCGACTCATTCTCAGACCAGCTTATCCCGTCCCGTTTCCGTCTCTAACCATTACAACAGCAATAGCACACAGTCTTTCACACCCTCGAGGCTCGACTGTGCACTCACTCACTTACCTGGAGCTCGTGTTTCTCAACAGCTGCGCTGGTCCCAAAACACGCTCCAACATTGCATCCTTGACAGCAACCAAGATCCCGGGACTCGTGCGAATCTGCAGAAGCGCTCCGCCTCCAAAAAGAAAGACCTTCAGACACCGCTTGGGTCACACGCTCACCCTCAACATCACTCACAGTTTACCCATACACCGCTCACACCCGTGCCTGGGAGTTCGCCTGCAAACTGCAACGGGGGGTTCCAGTCGTCCACCACCCCGTCACAGCAAATCCACATAGTTTCCGATCTTAAGCTGGAAACAAGGCGCGATCGTGCGTCCCACCACCATTAAACTTCCAGGGACAACGTCAGTTCACGTCACTACCGCCCTTTTCTCGCTTTCTAGAAACACTCAAGAGCCGTCTTGCCCCCATTGCCCCGTCCGCGACTTCTCATTCTTCCGCCACATCCGCATTGGGATTGCAGACCGCGCCTACGGAAATCAGCTTGATGCGGCCTCAAATGTGCATGGGAATACAGACGATCTACCTTTAGTGAAAATCCGGAGAGTTAGGGCGTATTTGCAAGAAGGACAACGGGATCAGTAGCCAAAATGGCCTTACCAAGGGAGTCGAGCTTTATGCCGGCCATCAAATGCTCGTCATGCGGCCTCGATGTGGAAATTTCCATGATGGGCGAGCACGTCTGCGGCGGTCCAGGAGCAGAGCGTAAGCTATCCACACTCGATCTAAACCTTTGGCAGAGTCAAGCTCACATCATTTACAGCATCGGCGCCGCCAGATCGTCCAGACAGCCTGGGCTCATATGATCAGCCGCCGCCGTTGGACAACAAGTACGGACGCATGGCACCTCCAACATTAGATACTAGTGCCGCCAGTATGCCAATAAACCCATCTTGACTCCTCGCGCGTAGTTGGCTAACCGAAGTAGATCTCCCATACTCGCGGCAAGGGCAATTAACACCTATAAGCACATCGACTGGTTCAATCAGCATCTCACCCAAGACACCGAACAGCCAGGCTATGGGCCGCAACGACGACTATTTCCAACCGCAAATCGCAAACGACTACAACTCAAGCCAACAATCTCGACGACCTGGAGGATACGGGGCATTCGATGATGGGGACGACTACGGTTCTGAACAGATGTACCCAGGCGAACAAAAGAAGCAAGCGCCAAGTCTTCTCCAGCGTATGAACACAATCGCGCCGGGGCCTTTCGAGATGGGCAGGAGAGCGGGAGGAAGAGGAGCCACAAAGAACGCTTTCGCCCCTTCGAGACAGGATTCTTTGACTCCGGATGACAACATGACAAACGACCGGCCACTGACTTCAGCGTCCAACAACTCCTTCATGTCTTCTGGAAGCAGCAACGCTGGCGGTATTGCGCCACCGAGACTACCAAGAAAGAATGGTTATGGAGGATTTGGGCCGCCGGGAACAACCCCCGAAGATATCGAACCCGAAACCTATGTTAGCCGCGCAGGCACCTTCCCGCGACCTAGCGAACCTATTGAGCCGCCTCTGAGAACGCCCTCAGCACCTCCTACCCGATCTGACAGGCTTAGAGGACAGCCGAACGGCGGAGAGCATGAGAGGAAGATTTCAATGGGGCCCGACACATCGAGAGCTCCGCCGCCAAGAACGAGTCTTCTGCGCCCGACGACGTCTGGAAGGGATGGTGCGCCCCAAGTGGACCTGGCGAGCGAGTTTGGTTCATCAAACCCTTATCACACTCCTTCAGCTTCTACGTCGTCCGGAGCGTCCATGTTCAGCCATGGTCGCCAGGCCAGTTCTCAGAGCAGCTCACAGTCCAGCCCGGCGAATCCACGAGGACGTCGAAACCCGTCAGACGTGACCAACTTTGACAACTTGATGAACGACATTGAGTCTTCCATGGAGGCTATGAAGTCTCCTGGTATGCCGCCGCCACCACCCCAGAAACCGCTGGCGAACCCGTACTCGAATCGTCGCGCACCGCCATCTGTGGACCTTCGAGATGATCCAGCTGTGCAAGGAGGCAGACCCCGTGCGAGATCGCCACTTGCGACTCCAGACTACGACCGTCGCAACCCCATGGACCGTAATCCCATGGATCGTTACAACCAAAAACATGAGCGTCAAGCCAGCGATCAGCGCAGCGTTTCGTCTCCGCCCCGCAACCGGCCCTCGCGAGGCAACTGCAAGTCTTGTGGCGATGCCATCACTGGCAAAAGCATTTCATCCTCAGACGGCCGTCTCACCGGACGCTACCACAAGGCTTGCTTCGTCTGCACAACATGCCGAGAGCCCTTTTCTTCAGCGGAATTCTACGTTCTCAACGACAAGCCTTACTGTGGTAACCATTATCACAAGCTCAACGGCAGCTTGTGTGGTTCCTGCAGACGTGGCATCGAGGGTCAATACCTGGAAGACGAAGAACGCATCAAGTACCACGTCGGTTGCTTCCGCTGCGGCGACTGCGGGATGTCCTTGTCAAACGGCTACTTCGAAGTCAACGGCCGATCATACTGCGAAAAGGACGCCTGGCGCCGCATGCAACCACCGCCTCGAATGGTCAACGAAGAGCGACGAGGACGCTCCCCTGGTGGTCTCGGTGTTCCCGGACAAGGTGGCCGCCGACCCAGTAACGGACAGACCGGCATGAGACCACCAATTGGCCTTCCTCGCGGGCAGAGAATGGGTCCCGGTGCCGGACTTGCGCCGCCCATGCCGCCTACCATGAACAAGCGCATGACGAGACTCGGAATGATGTAAACCGTCAGGAATGCCAACCCGGATCCTTTCCGACTTAACGTATTCGATTCGTCGTATATGAATCATCGTTTACAATGCATTTTTAATACCCCACGACACGCTTACGACCACGACACAAACCTCATCTCAACCCACCACATACACTTCCATTTTTTTGTTTACCATCTGAGTTTTATATACCCAGTCCTTTGTGGACTCTGTTGATACCTGCATCGGACGACGCGCTTGTCTCGTCTCCGTTTTGAGCACGAGCTTCACAGAAGCTCTTGGGGAAGGGGGAAGCCATTTACAACATTGGAGACATTCCGAATCACATGGCAAGAAGAAGCAAAGGAAGTACCTTGCAGACGATGGGGTTGCACATGAGTGCTTGTACATAGCTAGCCATCAAAGAGGCTCGCCGGTTTTGAGACCATAACCCGTAGCAAGCCCCAAGAGAAAGATCAATCTTGAGTCAATATTTTCAACTATTTGCCAGAAGTTTGTGAAGTTTGGGTTGCATGTGAATTACCCGAAGTCAGTCTGACTGACGATGGCACAGTCTCGGCTCGTGGCTCTCTATTTGTATTCACGTCGTATACAGTCGCCATCCATGATCAAAATAGTCTATTCTTTGATGTATCTAGACCGGATGGTATCGACTTGAGGGATGCAAGCTGACAAGCTCTCATTCCGCCTCGTTGTGCGTCATCTCAGACTTGCACCCTCTACCGATCTCATCAACTTGAACATCGACCCCGACTCTCAACTTCCCTCTGCAGATACCTGAATCTCGCAGCGAACAGGTCATTACTCATGACTCTCAAGACCGTTCTTTTTATAAGATGAAATGGCGGATGGGAGCTGGGCGTACTGTTCACGAGGAAGAGGACGCTGGGAGGGCACATTGTCGAGAACTCGCCATGTTCCGAGGACTCACGCAACCACTGCTGGCCTGAGAGATGAATTTTGAGGGACTGTTGTTTTCTCATGTCGATATGTTCTCGAAGAAGATGGAACGAATGAGGTGGGCGGGCATAGGATAGATCTTGGAATAGACTGGACAGCGTCTACATATGGTAGCATGGAAAGCTTGGCACGTCCGTACTTCCCAGACTTGAATTTTCTTTCGAGGGTTAGTGGGCTTTCATTTCGAGGTGAGTAGGATATACATCATTGTGATGGCTTCATTCAGAAGCTCTCAAGTCATTTGTCCTAGGCTTAAGTAATCATGTAAGATGCCCTAATAAGTAGGTAGGTACTTCCATGTCGAAAGTTGGTGGAGTACTTCAGTTTTGCGAAAATGTCATGCTCCACCAGGAGGTTGTTTCAAGAAGAGTGGCTAGTGTCGTGGGTTGATGAGGCTGGCATCGTGCGCTGGATACTTCGCACGGTTGAAGGACAATCCGAGTCGCCTTGGCTGATCACATTCTGGCGCACGGCGTGTCCGTACAGAGGACAGTGTCAGTGGTTCGTCTGGTTGAGAGTGGCCCGGTTGGGTTTCACTGCGAGCGGGTGTTCCGTGGAGCGCGTGGGCATTGCTAGATGGAAATAGAAAGAGTGGATGGGACGTCAGACGGATGGATGGCGGGCCTCTCGCTCGTTCTGAGACTGTCGAGCGTCGACACATACATAGTACACCAGGCAGTCAACGTGGTCGGACAGGAGAGGATAGAATGCCAGACGTTGTTGGATGAACGTGACGGTGGTACGCGAATTGCTGACAACTTGACAAGGTAAGGGGAAGACAAAGCAGAGCGCCCGTGCCTATTATCCAGATGTTTTTGGCGGACGGTGGTGGATAAGGGGGATGTTGTGATTTCTTCTCTTGCTGCAGCTGTTAGACATGATACATGAGGTCTGGCGATGGTTTGATTGGGAAGTTTCTTTTTCCCCCATCAATCTTTTCTTTCGCGACGCCTCTCATTGATGGAAATGATGTGTTTGCAATTTCGAGATAAGAGCGCTCGCCCTGCGTCCACAGCCGCAAGTCACCTGCAGACTGCAGCCGGTCCCTCCTTGCCTTGCGCTGCGGTAGAGCGTAGGCAAGTGGTTATGTCGTGCGTCTTGTTTCGGAAGCTATCAGAGCAAGACTGCAATGGAAGAGACATCGAAGGGTTCGAAGTCGCGCGCAGTTATGCTGGTTTGATCTCGAGAGCACAGACTTTCTGTTCTGCTGATGCGAGGCCAAAGTGTGAGGCAGAGGGCACTGTCTATTGCGGGTGTCTGTGTGATGTGATCCTCTCTGGAGACAATGACATTCATTCAGTGGCACCTTCTTGAACGGGCAGAGGGCCGTGAAGATCTTCTTCAACTACCTCTCCCACTCCTCGAGCCGGGTCAGTTGTCTTTGTTAGTGACTTGGTGTCATAGCTGAGAATGAGCGGGAACGGTTGGACCCGCGTATTCCCTTCGAGAAACTTGTCATCCCCTTACACGTCGCACTTCTCCTCCTTATTCGTGCGGTATCCGGACGTCGTTGCCATCTTTGCCTCGTCGTTTGCAAGGCCTTCCACACTTCCCCTCGCTGAGGCAGCCAAGACGCGTGGGATATCCGGCAGCGGCAAGGTACGTGTAAAGTGCTTTTTCAGCGTAAGGGGCTAGCAGAGCTGATGAGGTATCTCGACGCCCGAAATTGGGTGTCTCGGTACTTTGGAAGAAAAAGGCGATGAACTCGGATCGACAGGGGTGTCATGGAAAGGGGAGCTCGGGACTAGCGTGGTTTTAGAAGCGCCACTTTTTGGTGCCGTTCCTGGTTTCGCAGCGTACCTTAGCCAAGCAAATGCGGCTTGGACTGTTCAGGGAAGAGAAACAAGCCAACACCGTCTTTCAGGGCGCTCAACTTTTGGCCAAAATTTTCGGTCAAGTCGCCTCTAGTGAAGGATACTTTGCTCTTTGTTCGCGAAACAGGACCAACGGCGCGGGACCTGTGCTTGATAACTCGGCATTGAGGTCGAACGCGTGGCTTTCTTTGTCGTCTTGGTTTTTAAAATTTTCGTCGTTTGTCTCGTCCGGGCAGCATCAACGGGATGCAGAACAAGATGAGGTGTCCTGGTGCAATCACCCTCCTGAGATTGAGACATCCACTGATCGCTGGCTTAACCGGCGAAACATAAGCGCGCTGCCAGCTGCCGCTATGGTGTGTAAATTTGTAAGGCATCGTGGATGGGGACGATTGCGATTAAAGTGCTTCAATATGGCTCCAGTGAATCCAGTCCGAACTTGGCTCTCCCCTTTTTTTCTGTTAGTGTCGCTTGCCGAATGCCATTGGAGTCTGGTAGAGATGTTTGGGCAGAAAATAAATAAAAAAAAGTCCGTCATACCGTATATCCATGCCAACTGTGACAGCAAAGGTCCCGCCCATCCCGCGCGACCTGAGTCTGGTGTGATGGATTGATTGCCGGGTGCCGGCGCCAGCAGCCAGGACCTGATTCCCATCCAATCCTCTTGTCAACAAGAGGTGGAGGGACTCAGGGAGGACCGGTGGGCGACATTTGCGTCCCTCTTTTAGAAATTAGGTGGACGGTGGCCACTTTCTCACGTAACTGGCGATCTACATCCGACTCGGAGGATGGTCGGATTCGTCACTTTGCGACTTGGTTGGTTGGCTTGCTGCTGTCTGTCTCCTTTTGCGTGTTGCAATGTGAATGCGGCGACGTACGCGGTCTATCTGCAGATATCCGCGGGACGCCTTTGAGATACCTCGAGGTACATTTTGGGCCAAAGTACCTACCTTTCGTGCTTACGTGCCCTCCTTGAAGTGTAGGAGAGAGTAGGCGGCCAATTGTATGTACATCGTTCTTTCTTATCCAATTTAGATCCCACGTCGTTCTTGTACCTTACGAGATGTACTTCGTACCCTGGGTCTCTACCTAAGCAATGGAGCAACTCGATTGGCGGTCGCCCTTTCCTCTTTTTTCTCAACTTCCTTGCTTCCCCTTCCATGATCCTCCTGCCTCTTGCCTAGTTAGTGCGCCTTCCTTTTTCTTGTCCTTCCTGCCCACTATTCTTTGCCCAGAGCTCGACTCGACCTCCTCTCTCTCCTGAGTTCTGAATCCTGGCAACCGCTGCCATTGTCGTAGTCGTCTCTGTCCTTCCACCTGCCTTCCACTCCTTCTCCTTTCTTCCCCTTTCTGGCTCTTGGTGGTAGAAACAATAATCTTTCTGCCATCGCGGCAATAGCAATAAACACTATCGTCGACATTGTCTCCGTTTCACCTCAGATCTCACCTGGATTTTGCGGAGAGGCGTGTTCCAGTCTAGACTTTTCTGTCTCTTCCTCCCTTTCTTCCCCCGCGCTACCTACTCGCCCCCCGTCCGATCCATTGCACCACACCCCCCGAAAAAAATCCCAGCTGGGTCTCCTTTGATAGGAGCCGTGCCACTCTCTAATCAACGAGTCTTATCCAATCTCGCCAAGCCCCCATAACAGGTCCCGCTCACACTGCAGCGTTGTTGTCGTTCGAGCCAGGTTTCTTCTCGATTGGGTTTTGCGAGGCGCGCGAGAGCTCACCACGTTCCTTTCATACTTCGAAAGACCAGCGCTTCGGGTCGTCATTCCTTTGGTTGTGTGTTTTCCCGACCGCCGCAGCATGCCTCTATAGCGCCGCGGCAAACATTCCAACCGTAACCTATACCCAATCGCCCGTTCGATCAGCACCCTTTTTTTCCACAGCGGATTGCCGATTCTTTAATAATCCCCAGTCGACCGCCGCCCGCCGCCGCTTGCCGCTGCCGCGCTGGCCATGTTGACCATGCTCAAACAACAATCATCGAGAGGCTTCATCGCCCCGAGGGCTCGCCCCAAGACGCTGCTCTTTCTCGCTCTGGCAATTGTCACCGTCTACTTCCTGGCCACACGCGGCGCTCCTGCCGGCTATCACGTCGTCCCCTGGAACCAAGACGGCACCTCTCCACCCCCCGAAAAGGCCGCACCTCCTGAACCGCCAAAGTCGGAAGAGGAGAGGAAGCAGGATGAGGAGAGACAAAAGCAAGAGAGAGAAAAGCACGAGCAAGATCTACGAGACGAATTCGCGCGGGAGTATGAAGCTGCCAAGAAGTACGTGCCCTCCTACCAATCCCGACTGCGGGAACGTCAGCTGTCACGCATGCAGGAGAGACTGACATTTTAAACTTTACAGGCTTCCCGGCAACGACGCGATCTACGGAAACACACTTAACTCTCTGAAGGATAAGGAAAACAGGACCGCCGAGCACGCCGCCAACCTCCGTGAGTCTGGCACGCAGGAGGAGGCCTACACCAACCAGCGACCGGTCTACTTCAACCCTTATCCCGACTACAACAGCGAAGAATGGAACAAGACGCATCGCGCGCCTCATGTGCCCTGCATTGGTGCGACTGGCGAGGCCGTTGATGATCTCTTGGTCTTCAAGGGTCATCCTGCGAAATTCCCCAACCCGGGCTTCGGCGGCTTCGATGTCCTGGACATGGATGGCAACATTTGCTACGAGCGCGAGACCAGACTTGGACCCTACGGTCTTCTTCCTCAACTCAGTAAGGCCGGTCTTCGCATTGACTGGGATAACATCAACTGGGGCGACCTTCAGGAGAAGTGTATTGAGAGAAACGCTGCCCGCTTCGACGAGGGAAAGCCCAACGAGTACATCAAGACTGCTTACCCCGACATCGCTGAGAAGTACGGCAAGGAGGTCGAGGAGGAAGAGGAGGCCAACGAGAAACGAGGCCTTACCAACAAGTTCAGGGGCGGGTCCAAGGGCGCTAAGGTGACGACTCCCGACGCCCGTACTGCTGTCCTTCTTCGAACCTATACCGGCAAGAAGTACACGGAGAACGACAAGCAGGTCATTCGTTCCCTCATTTCTGAGCTTTCGCTCCGATCTGGTGGCGAATATCAGGTTTTCCTGCTACTGCACGTTCGCGACCAGGCTCTCGACATTTGGAACGACGAAGCCACGTACCAATACGTACTCAACGAGCATGTGCCTCTCGAGTTCCACGGCATTACCAAGCTGTGGAATGACCAGGCTATGTGGAACCTGTACACAGCACTTACCGACGAGAACGAAAAGAGTGTGCATTCTGCCCAATGGCTGTCGGTGCAGAAGTTCAGCCAGGACCACCCTGAGTTCGACTTTATCTGGAATTGGGAAATGGACGCCAGAATCATCGGCCACAACTACGACTTCCTGAAGCGCCTCTCCGACTTCTCCAAGAAACAGCCTCGCAGAGGTTTGTGGGAGCGCAACGAGCGTTACTATATCCCCGATTTCCACGGAGACTACGATACCGACTTCCGCAAGGACGTTGAGCAGCGCACTCGCGGCAACCAGATCTGGGGCCCGCCCAAGCTGCCTTTCATCAACCCCGTCGGCCCTAAACCTCCTGTCGAAAACCCTGAGAAGGAGCCGTACAAGTGGGGAGTTGGCGAGGATGCGGACATGATCACTGTCGGCCCCATCTTCAACCCGATCAACAGCAGCTGGATCATCTCGGACCACATTTGGGGCTACAGAGACGAAAAGTTCCCCGACCCTGCAAAAACCCTCCCCCGCCGAACCACCATTGTCACCCAATCTCGTGTCTCCAAGCGCCTCTTGGACATCATGCATGTTGAGAATCTTCGTGGCAACCACATTGCGTCGGAGATG